AAAACAGAGGAAGTGAGATAACCACAAACAGCAGAACTGCCAAACAAAACTTTGTCACTTTAGATTTAGGACATGCACAAAAGTTCGGATCTACGCTAAGTTTGGACTGCTCTGATGCTCTAAAGTAAAAGGCAGGGTTTTTCCTGGCCAATGGTGTACACGTATTCCTCAAACTCTAAAGTAAAAAATTTTCCATGAGAAAAAAATGAAGTTAGAGTATCTTTAAGGAATTATCTATTTTCTTTTTAGTTTTCAGGGAGCTGAATATATCACTTTTCTAAAGTTCAAATACTAAAACTCAAGACATGGTTTCTGATCCGTCCCTTTATTAATATTCTGAACATGGACACTTTATTGATTACCAGATGCTTCTGATTTTGATAAGATGAGAAAAGTAAGTGTGCCTTTGACAATTCAAATACAAGAAAATTACTTTCCCCAAATTAGGGACTGATCATGAAATTGGATCAGACCTTGCTGTTCTACTCAGATTCTTACACTGCATCCTCACTGTGGTATCAAAACGAATGAAATGCTGTGACTAGCATGTCTCATGTAGTTCTTTTCTTCTCTCTTTTCCTGTCTACTTGGAACAGAAGGTGATGATGTTTGTCGTGGTTCTTAGCTCTAACAGGAGTTCACTGTACGTCTTGGCCCTTGTAGTACAGTTTCATTGTGCCCGAGGAATAGAGTTGTTGACTGCAGTGTTTGTCCCAGAGCTTTAAGTAATCCTTTAAATATTGCCCAGATCATTAAGCTCCTTAAAAATAAGAACTGAGACCTGAATTTGATTTTGATATTCTATAGGGAGCCAATGTAGTGAGATGAGAATAGGTCAGCAGTGCCTGCAGTAGCCCACGTTGTTGAGGAGGTAAACTCTTGCAGGTTATACAATTAGTAGTTTTCTGAAGGCTGATGGTTTCATATCCAGGTAGAAAGCACTGCTGTTGCCCATCTGGAAGTAACTAAGGTATGCAAAACTGAGAGTACATAGGTTATTTTTAACCTGGATGGGATACTGAATCCGCAGACGGTAGAATTATTCTTAGATCCTCCGTATTATTATTATCCAGTAATATGCGGTTTTCATCAATGTAAGCAAGAAATCCAGGCCCTTTATCAAGGGCCTGCCTTCCTCTCTGACAGAATTACAGAAGATGTCAGTGAACACAAAGAATAAATAATAATAGAATAAATTCTCTACACTGATTGCTTTGCTCATCTTTCATGTTTTAAGCCTGATCCAACACCCTCTGAAGGCAATGGGAATCTTCCCATTGCATTCAATGGGTATCACAGTGAACAATTTGTTCTACTTTAGAGAGTTATGGAAAGGATTTAATCTTTTCCATCCATTTTGTTTACAGTTAATAGTCAGTTCAGAAAGGTTTGAGTGTGTGTCAAGGCTGATTCCCCATTCTGGCACTTTGAGTGCAGAAGGTGGGGGCCCGCAAGGATTTTAAAAATTAATACTTGCCACTCCAGGTTTGTATTAAACTCCCAAGGTTACAGCTTTTCTCTGACATTGCCACCACCCAGGAAGACACACTTCGGAATTCCTTCTTATGGGGTACCCTCAAGCCCTTCCCACCCCACCCCGGGAAAAGCTGAGAAAGAAAACAAAGGAAATTAGCTGTTGCCACCAGCTAATTAAACAACATATGCACAAACCTTTTAGGACACCAAAAATCCAATCCTGTTCTTAAAAAAGGTATTTTTTATTAAAACCAAAAAAGAAAGAAAATACATTTGGAACTTAGGCTTTTGCTAGATTTTAAAAGAGCAATTCCAAAAATTAAGTACCCAAAATAGCTTTCTTGGGAGTTCAGCTTAAAGATTACAAGCAAACAAAAGCATCTGGAGTTAGCACAGAGGAGTCCATTAGCCATAACAAATAAACAGAAATAACCCTAATTGAGTCTTTCTAACCATTTCTGATCTACTTACACATTTGGGAGTTCCAAATAAGTAGTTCTAGGTATGATCTTATGATTTATGATCATACCTGGCTTAAAGCTTCTTTTAGCATAACTGCTCCCTGTTCCCCTCTTTCTTGGAGAAAAAACAACAGACAGAAAGGGGAAGTTTTTCCCCCCATTTTAAAAAGTTCTAGCCTTCCCATTGGCTCTTTTGGTCAGGTGCCCACTCCCTTTCCTTTACCTGGGGGACTTTGTTAACCCTTTACAGGTCAAGCAAGCAGAGAACAGCCACCAAGAGGGACTTTATAGCTAGCTGGCTGGGTGTCCATTAAAGGGAGTTACCCCACTTCCCCTTCATTTATCACAGTGTGTGTGTACACCAGTTCAAAGTATTGTATGGGGAGAAAAATACTGCTTTTTTTCAGTAGAGGATCTCTATGTCATCCTGAGTTCACCCAGAGCAACAATTTTTTGGAATCTGTTCTAGACATTAAAACCAATGAACAGATCCCTGATTCATCAGCATGTAGTCTTCTGTTGAGGGTCAGTATTCAAAAGGAAGAATTACACCCAAAATTTAAAACGAACTCTTCAGATTTGGGAGAAAGATTCTAGGAAAACCCTTGTTTGCTATTTGTTGCATTCTCAACCTGCTAGAAACATATGACTAGATCATGATAGCCTTACTCACATTGAGAAATACCTTATTCTAAAGTATGAGGGTTGATAACGCTATTAACATTTTCCTAGGTAGTTTAAATGCTTATATTGGTTTCCACTGCTTTCCTGATTCCTACTAAACTCTTTGGCTCATTAATATTTTGTGGTAGTGAATTCACAGGTTAAAGACACTTTTAAAAAAACAACCAACCTTTTATCGGTTTTAATTTGTTTGTTTTAAATTAATCAAATGGCTCTTTGTTCTTGTGCTATGAGATAATAAGTGTGTCCAATTGACCTTCTCAACACCATTCATTATTTTATATATTCTACTACTTATTTGTCTCCTCTCAGCTAAACAGACTGGGTCTTTTAGATTCTCTTTATAAGGAAGCCTTTTCACATCTCTAATCATATTCATTGCCTTTCTCTGGATCTTTCCTATTATTTTTTGTCATACAACAAAGATAAAGATTCACAAAGAATCACCTCAAGAAAAAAAACTATTATCACACTAAAGATATTCTCTTGATCTCCTGTCCGGAACTTCCCCTAGTTCCATTTCTCCCTGTCTTCCTACTACAGATTTAAAGAAACTGTACCTATATTCTCACATTCTTACTGAGAAAGGGCAACCAAAATTAGACAGAGTGCTCAGGATAAGAAGGTACTATTTGTGTAATTACACTTAAAATGAGAAAAGAAAGTTAAGGTTGCAAAGTCAGGTTCTCAAAAGTAAGAAATGCCAGATTTAAGGCTATCCTTGCAACCTTAATTTGCTCCCTCATTATTACATTAATTACATAATTGCATACTATCCCCTACCTCCTCATACAATCTCAGTCTCCCACAAGCATCCTTGCCCCAGTCTGTCTCAATCTTCCCATATCTCCCACTCCTCCTACAATCTCAGTCCTAGACTCCTTGCCCAGCCAGTCACAGTCTTCCTCTCCTCACTGTGATGTCCATAGTGATACCCAGGTCCTTTTCCTGTGTGAATATTTTTTAGCATATATCAATATGTATAAATGGTTCAAATTGTTCTTTCCAATACACATTACTTCCACATCTACATTGAATTTCATCTGCAGTTGCCTCGTCACCAAAAGAAACAAAAACAAAAATTTGGTACCTAATGACATTTGTAGATCATCAAATTGTTCACTCTGCTTGTAGGTCATATCCCTTCCCCACAACCCTTTGTCTTCAGCAGGGACTCTCTCTCTCTGTATGTTTGTACCAAGCCTAGACAAAGGGGCCTTGATTTCAGCTGAAGTCCTTAGGTACTGCTGTAACACAAATAAGTAATAATAAATAGCTTTGTTCCATCCCTCTGGAAAGATTCACACTCTTCTCTAGCCTTGATTAACCTAAAGGTTTTCTTGCTGCTTTTCACTAATGGCTTGTCTACATAGGAAAGTCATACCATGCTAAAGTGTGAATTGAAATCAATAGAGTTAGGCTTGGAAGGATTAGATTCTTGTTGGTAAACATGAATTCCACTGTATCCATATAAACAAAAAATATATTTCTATAAATAATCATTTAAATGTACAAATAGGCAAAGTAAGTTCTCAAGCAGCAGTTCTCTTATTAGTTTGATTTAAGGCTATTTACTTAGTATGTTTTGACATGTGATGTTGACAATTTGTGTTTTAATAGTTACAAAGCTTTTACTTCTTGAATCTCAACATCTACTGTCATTAAGTAATTATTGTTTGACTACCCATAATGTCCCAGGGAAGGGAAGTCCGACAATTTAAATAAATATTTTTTTTTAAAAATGCTTAAAATAAACATCATTATTAGCCGTTAAAGTTATAAAAAATAAAAATCAAATTCTGCCAAGCCTAAATACAGCAACAGCAGAATAAAGCCCCAGGCGGACACCCAGTCTCTGGTGGAAGACACTTTTTCCCATTCAGTTTATGTTGTTTCGGAAGGGATTTAAACAAAACAAAAACAAAAGCTACTTTAAGTGCAGAAGAAAAGCGCGCACCCAGGGGATTATACTGGTCTAACTATATCAATTTAACTTGTAACATGTGCCGTGTAAACAGCCCCCCCGCAGTAATATCCCAGGCCAGGCTAATCCTCCAGGGATAGCTCCGGCTACTCCCCGCTCCATCTGAAGCCCCTCACCCGGCACTCCGCATTAACTGGAGCGCTCAGCGATACCCAGGGGGAGCGAAGCAGTCTGCGGATTGTACCATTAGCTGCTTCCGTGGGGGTGCGTGTGAAACACCCACTTCCCGACGCTTACAGGGGAACAACTCGACTTGCCACCGCGCCCCGCAGACCCATGGTGCAAGCTACAGCCACCAGCACAGGTGTGACCGGTGGAACAAACCAACAGCAGGCGACAGGGGTGCCGGCAGCATCATAGGAAGGCGACGCGGGAGATTGAAGTGGTTGCGCCGCCGCCGCCGCTAGCCAGGGGCCCTCGCGAGGGGAGGAGGAAGGGAGAGTCCGAGCCTGCTGCGCCCGCCTCTCCCTCGGTAAGTGCCAGTCACTGCGCAGGGGCAATTCAGGGGGCTGGAGCCAGCGCCTCGCCCAGCGGCTCCCCGCAGCTGGGGCCGCCCCCCCTCCGCCCGCATGCGGGTCCTGCTGCTGCTGAGTGCGGCCAGGGCCCCGCAGTGACACACACGGCACCAGCCGCCCGGCCCGCTGCGGGGACACCCCCGCTAGCCCGGCCGCCGCGTCTCCCGCGCTCCGTCTGTGTCCCAGGCCTAACACCCCTGCCCCTCGCCACAGCGTGCAGCCGCGCTTTCAACCTCAGCGATCGCTGCAGGCAGAGCCGGGCGCGGCTCTAGAGCGGCCCAGGCCCGTCGAGGAGCGGGTGGCCTCTCTGACCAATAAAGCAGAGTGTAGTCGTGTGTCTTTTTTGGGGTGTCACAGTGTTTCAGCCGGTGTTGTGTCCCCCGCGCCGCTGTGTCTGCTGGGTACTCCAGCGTTAAGTTAATTCAGTTCAGAGGCCTCCCGTTGTAGGGAGACCGGGCTGCTGCTTGCATGGTCCCGCAGCAGACAGGGTTTATTGGCCTTGGTGCCTAGTTCGATGGATTATAAGCCTTAGTGAAACTGAAACTTGGATGGTCTGGCTGTTCTGGGTCAGTGCATCTACTTATTCCTATTGAATGTAGTATACCTTGCCACCTTTGTGACTCCAGAGCTGCTTCTGTTTCTTGTGACCCCCCCCCCCCCCCCCCCCCGCGTTCTCAAATATTTTTATTGGTCTCTATACCACTAAGATGATGATGTGCTGGCTAGGATTTGCCTTTCCTTAAGGCAAAGCTCGAATGTGAGTGAAAACACTTCAGGGGAATGAAAAAAGGAAGAAAGGTAGGATACTGGTCCTGAAGAATGCCAAATAAAATGGGAGGAGCGCCCAAGGAACTTTATGCGTTGTTATTGTAATTTGCTAGGCCTCAAGCCAGTTGAAATGTAAGAGTACAATATAGCAAAAATGCAACGTACCCTTTTGGTAGAGGACTGACTGTTTTGCACTGCTTTTCGAGAGCACCCTACTTGGAATATCACTAATTGTTGACATTGCAGGTTAATTGATATAATACTTACTCTCCAACTATGCTACCCTCTACTAGTTATAGAACTGAAAAGAAAATTGACCTTTCCAATTGTCTTGCTTCTGTTCTATTTTTTTTAAATAAAAGACTTGTGAAGTGCCATATGAAATTTAAACCATTTAATTGTAATGGAGTTTAGCTGAGGAACTGTACCCAGCTTGTATGACAACGCCCGAGACGCATATTGCATTTCTGATTGATCTGATAATCATGTCCCTGGAAGTCCCAGCAGCGTTTTGCTGTAAAAAGCAAGGCAGAAACTAGGCAAGGAAAAAAGTCTCTGTGCTACAAGATACATGCCTGTGAAACGACACAAACAGCTCCCAGCACTAATGTGGGAGGAGTAACAAAAAGAATCGAAACCTCAAGTGCACTAGGCAGCTTGCTAGACCTGATACTGAAACTAGAGTCCTAGTTAAGTATTTAGAAAGAGGGCGGTAGGAGTTTGATACGAAAATCTAGTTCGCTTACTGGTGTAAGCGTTTTGCTTCGGAAAGGGGGATTGTATGCTGTCTCCGCACGTCATGCCAGGGCTGCTTGCTGACCTGCTCATACCAAGTACGTCCCTTCTCTCCCCCTTCCTACAGGAGCCTTTCTGGCTCGGAGGGATTCCCCTCCTCAACCAGTGTGCTTCTACTTCCTGCTTCTGTAGAACTACAACTCCCAGTAACATCTCTGGCAGCGGTTTGAAAGTGAAAACAAACTGTAGGTTACCATTTCTTGGCAGTAGTAGTAGCAGCACATGCCCTTTCTCTTTTGTTTTCCGCCTTGCAGCTTGGGTGTGTTCAAGAGGAGCCAGCAGTAATCATCGCCCTGAAGAAGGGGTCGGATCTGGACCCCTCGAGTTACTTTCCGGGAGCAGTTGTCGGGCCCTCTAGGGAGGCCAGAAAGCGACTCTCTTTAAGGAGCTAACAAGCCAGATTATGCAGTAAAAATCCGCCCATGAGTCCCACATGCAATTTGACAACGTAAGGCCAGCTGCTGTTCCTGCTGCTGCTGCCCCGATTGCTGCGGAGGGAAGCGCTCTTCACCCCCACCGGCTGCGGCGGTTTCCTTTACCTACCCGTGGGGCAGTCTTGCCATGTGGGGCTAGGATTCTCTGCAGTATTAAGCAGTAAATATGGAGGCTGCTTGCAAGCCAGATGGCGGGGAGCAGAGTCATCCCAGCAGCGGTGTGGAGGCTCCTGGGGACGCTTCTATGGACAGTTACTTGCGATCTCAGGGTTTATATAGAAAGCGGGTTGCCAAGGATGGATCCTGTCTTTTCAGGGCTGTGGCCGAGCAGGTAAGTAGTTATTTAATTTAAGTAACCAGAAGCACTGTAACGATGGCGATACCTGGAGGAAATGGATCCCATTAGTGGGTGTTAATGATGAGGGTGAAAAACGGGCGAGTAGGGATTAAAGGAACACTAATTTTGCCACGGGAAAGCACCACATCTCATATTGGTATGTGTGCACAATCTTCCTGTTCCAACTAGGGAATTTAGGTTGAAGTTTTGAAACCTCCCCCCCCCCCCCCCCAGCAGTACATTTTTAGTGTAAAATTAGTGAAAACTGGGATTAGCCACCTGGTATGAAAACCATCCAGGAAAGTGCTTTAAAGCCCTTCCCTGCTTTAGATTGTGTGAATGAGTTTGCTGAAGTTTTGGAGTAAGATGATCGGATTTTCATGTCACACTTCCCCCCTCACTTCAGTGAAACAGCATTTTGAAAAAAGTGTATTACATACAAATAGCAGTGGGAGGACTAGTGCTGCAGATTCTGACCCAGGTTTCCTGCTCATTTTGAGTGTTGGTACATTACTCACATAATTTTTCTTCCACTAAACTAAAATTTGAACTCTAATTATTTGTTTAAAGTTATTCTTATAGTGGGAGTTTTCTTTTAAGGTGATGATACAGAAAAAGGGGGACACAAAGTCTGATGGACAGCTACTACGCTGTCAATTTTGTCAATAAATATTCATTTCATATTAAATATTTTCTAAATTTACTGTAAATTTTTACTTGTCATTTAATTTTCAATAAGTAGCCAATTAAATTTTGTTCAGTTGTCAGTTCTGAAATAAATATTCATCCAAATTGATTCTTTCCAAGCTCACATTTAGCCTATATTCATTACATCATCCAATCATTAACTTCCATCAAGAGTCTTAAGAAACCGCAGCTTCTCTCTTCCTTCCCCCCCTCTCTCTGTAGGTGTTACACTCACAATCTCGGCATATTGATGTTAGGAACGCTTGTATAAATTACATTCGGAAAAACAGAGAAAAATTTGAAGCGGTGAGTAAATGCCGTTTTTCTTCCTAAGTATTTTCTTTCTCTCTATTTTCCTAGCTCTGCCCTGCTGTTTTGTAGCAGGGCTTCTAATAACTAGATTCTACCTAGGTAGGTGTATAAAGCAAGTGACCCTAAAAAGGAATTGCTGCTTGTTAACTATGTTGGGTGGACTGTGCTTTCCACCCACCAATTACCAAGCTTAACTAGTAAGAAAATTTTAGGTCAGTATCCCACCACCTTAATGAGGCATAAATAAAACAGAGCAGGATAGAGTACTGATCAGTTATCCAGTCTTGGGGTGCCAGCAGGCTTTCTGTCATCAGGTTGGATCTGGTGAATGTTCTGCATTTACCCTCCCCCCACCCCCTTTGTTATATACACATTCTTTACATCTTGTAACATCATTCAGGCACAAGTTATTAAAGCTACTGTATCTTTGAATATTCTATTCTAAGTATATTGTCATACATATATCATAACTCACCCCAAATCCTTCTAATACATTATTACTTATTCTGCTAGAACTCTAATAGATAAGAAGATGCCAATTTTTTTTTTTTTTAACCTGTGCTACCCTCCTCCTTACTCAATCCAACCATCTTTTCCATGCTTTAATGTGTTCCATTATTTCTTAAAATAGTTGTCTTATTCTTACGTATCTGTTTCTTGTGGCCTTGGAGTTGCTATTTGGCTATTTTTCTCCAGTCAGTATCCATCCTCCCTAGTCGGTCTTACTAGGGAGTTCCACACCCGGCTAGTAAATCACAATCATGCTTTGCCTCATTATCTACACAGACCAAGAATCTATGGAAGATAAGGCACAAACCATCTTTGTTTTTTTTTTTTTTTAGCAGATTTGAGAGCTGTGCCGACAAAACATATACAGAAAGCAGAAAAATTTGCTTTACGTTTTCTTGTAACATTGTTAAACATATAATATCTACTTTTCTAACACCATTCATTATACATTTCTTTACAACTAATAACTAGACTCCGTGAGCTTATTGGAAGATCTACATTTCTTGGAAGTGCCCCCCCCCCCCGACTCTTTTAAAAAATGTGTATTTACCATACTGAAATAAAAAGCTATTGAGCCGTAGGTTTTCTGTGGTATTGCTCCAGACTATTAATAGATTGCTGAAGAGTATTGCCACTTACTTTATAGCAGTCATGGTATAATTATGTAAGTAAATTCTCACATTTTGATGAGTATTAGATTTTTACCATGACTACGACTGAGATTTGATTAATAAGATGTCATTGATATTAATGGATTTTTAAGTGACTTTTTAATTTTATTATGTGGTATGATCATGTTACATGGAGTTTTTCAAACATGTAAGAAACAAAGATCCCCAGTAAGGGGCCTACAGTCTAATTCTTACAAGCAGTTTATAGTTTTATAAGGAATGACATGTCTGTGGATGTAAATTCTGTAATTGCAAATCCCTGAAAAATATCATGGAGCATGAAAAAAATCATGGAGCATAGTAGCATTTGATTATTGTAATTAAAGGTGGTGTCAGTGGCATTTAGAGTTCATTTACATTTGAGAAATATTTGATAACTTATTATGATAGGTCAGTGCAGGAAAGAGTACACTCTGTTCATGCTGTTATTGATGTGTAAAGGTCCCCAGTGGTAACACTTAAAAACAAAGGTTCCATTGCCATTTGTTCAATTTTCAAACAAATACCTTTATGCTTTCTCCCATCCTGCCCCATGTGCTTGGGAGTTGCTCCTTGCAGACATTCACGGATCTTCCTCATTGTTCTTCTTAAACTCTCCTTTGCCAAGATGCTTACAAAAAACTTGACAACAGTTAGACTTTGGTATGCTGAGACCTCTACCTATCCTGCTGACCAATATTGTCTCATTGTTTCTTTGTACTCCTACATCTGTCTCTCAGTATCCATCTGTGGCTTCTTGTCTTGTGCTTAGTCTGTAAGGTCTTTGGGGTAGGGACCATCTTTTTGTTCTAGGATTGTGGGGTCCTGGTCCATGACTAGGGCTCTTAGGTATTATTGTAATTAATAATCTAATAAACCACTTGCTGTCATATTTTTACAGTTTATAGAGGGGCCATTTGAAGAGTATTTAAAATGTTTGGAAAACCCACAGGTATGTATTACTTAATTAAACTTGCATTATAGAATATAATATCTATTTATTTTGGTTGACTGAAATTAGTTTAAGATATCTCAGTGCATTATATGCGGATATATAGAATGTGTGTACAGACACATTTGATATATACATACACTGTTTTGGAGTTTGAATTTATTTGAAAAAAATTCTCTTTCAGAAATGACAGTTTTGAAAGATCATAAAATTACATGTGGCTAGATCAGGGGTTGGCAACGTTTGGCACACGGCTCGCCAGGGTAGGCACCCTGGCGGGCCGGGCCAGTTTATTTACCTGCTGACGCGGCAGGTTCGGCCGATCGCGGCCCCCACTGGCCGCGGTTCGCCATCCCGGGCCAATGGGGGCGGTGGGAAGCGGCGCGGGCGAGGGATGCGCTGGCTGCGGCTTCCCGCCGCCCCCATTGGCCTGGGACGGCGAACCGTGGCCAGTGGGGGCTGCGATCGGCCGAACCTGCCGCATCAACAGGTAAATAAACTGGCCCGGCCCGCCAGGGTGCCTACCCTGGCGAGCCGTGTGCCAAACGTTGCCGACCCCTGGGCTAGATGCTCACTTCTGTATTTGTTTTCTTTTTGTGTGGTATGACAACAGTGTATGGAAGAAGAGGACCATGGTTTCTTAAGCAGTTTTTGTTTCAGTCTCTGGCTGCATTTCCTTTTTTTCTTCTGTCATAGTCTCTGTCACCACCACCAGCAGTGGTACCACAGTTGGCACAGGTGCTAGGCCTCTGCTTCCCACATGATGTATCTCTCTTGATGGTGTGTGACACCTATGGAGTGAGAGAGACTGCTGTTCCAGGGAGTATTAACTTACCTACAGTCCAATTGCTATGTTACCTTGAAAGGTAAACATATATTTTAAAAATGAACCAAAACAGTTGTGTTGTTTTTTGTTTTGATTTTAAATATTCTTTTAAAACCCAAACCTTGCTGCCTTGTGCTAGTGGACGAGCATCAGAAAATGAAACTGACCAGTTTTCTTAATACAAGCTTAAGGAAGTACAAGTGGTAAATTAAAAACCTAAATGGAAATTCTCTTTTTGTTATCTAAGGTGCTAACAGAGGTGAGGAGATTTGTTTTTTGAAAATCTGATGTTGAACTCTCCAGAGTATAGGAAAACAAAATAAAAAGAAAGTGTGCAGTAACTACATTACTAGATTTCAGAGTGATAGCTGTTAATCTGTATCAACAAAAACGAGGAGTCCTTGTGGCACCTGAGAGACTAACAAATTTATTTGGGCATAAGTTTTCTTGGGCTAGAACCAACTTCATCAGATGCATGGAGTGGAAAATACAGTAGCAGGTGTATATATACATAGTACATGAAAAGATGGGAATTGCCTTATCAAGTGGGGGGTCAGTCTAACGATTAACAGTAGAATACCAAGGGAGGAAAAATCACTTTTATAGTGGTAATGAGGGTGGCCCATTTCAAACAGTTGACAAGAAGGTGTGAGTAACAGTAGGGGGAAATTAGTATGGGGGAAATTAGTTTTTGTAATGACCCATCCACTCCCAGTCTTTTTTCAGGCCTAATTTGATGGTGTCTAGTTTGCAAATTAATTCCAGTTCTGCAGTTTCACGTTGGAGTCTGTTTTTGAAGTTTTTTTGTTGAAAAATTGCCACTTTTAAGTCAGTTATTGAGTGACAAGGGAGGTGTTCTCCTACTGGTTTTTGAATGTTATAATTCCTGATGTCAGATTTGTGTCTATTAAGTCTTTTGTGTAGAGACTGTCCAGTTTGGCCAGTGTACATGGCAGAGGGACATTGCTGGCACTTGATGGCATATATCACATTGGTAGATGTGCAGGTGAACAAGCCCTTGATGGTGTGGCTGATGTGGTTAGGTCTTATGGTGGTGTCCCTTGAATAGATATGCGGACAGAGTTGGCACTGGGGTTTGTTACAGGGTTTGGTTCTTGGGTTAGTGTTTTTGTTGTGTGGTGTGTGGTTGCTGGTGAGTATTTGCTTCAGGTTGGGGGACTGTCTGTAAGCGAGGACTGGCCTGTCTCCCAAGGTCTGTGAGAGTAAGGGCTGGTCTACACTACGGGGGGGGGATCGATCTAAGATACGCAACTTCAGCTACGAGAATAGTGTAGCTGAAGTCGACATATCTTAGATCGATTTACCTCGCGTCCTCACGGCGCGGGATCGACGGCCACGGCTCCCCTGTCGACTCCGCTTCCGCCTCTTGCATTGGTGGAGTTCCAGAGTCGACAGGGAGCGCGTTTGGGGATCGATTTATCGCGTCTAGACAAGACGCGATAAATCAGTCCCCAATAGATTGATTACTACCCGCCAATCCGGTGGGTAGTGAAGACGTACCCTTAGGCATCGTCCTTCAGGATAGGTTGTAGATCCTTGATGATGCGCTGGAGAGGTTTTAGTTGGGGGCTGTAGGTGACGGCTAGTGGCATTCTGTTGTCCTGCAACAAACCCTGGTGCCAACTCTGTCCGCATACCTTTTCAGCTCTGTCCTAAATCAATTTCAGTTGATTTGGTTTAGTATGAAATTAAACTTTAGAAGAAAAACTAAAGGTCCAGTCACATGTCATGTGAGAGAGTTATTGGACACTGCATTAGAGTGGTAATGAATACAGCAACTTTCACTTCTTAGGGCTTGGATAGATATATACCTAAAAATAACACCACGGAACAATGATTGTTGTTTTTGTTGGCAATCTCTGCAGATAAGCCAAGGGAGTGACTCATCAGGGAAACCTTAACTACATGGTTATCTCTGAAATGGTCCCTCCAGTTAAGCATTAAGGCACTCCACCAGTCATTGTGAAGAAGCTTGTGTTTGTTTTCTGTGTCTTACTTGGAATTTGATTAAACAGAAGACTTGAATTCCAGGACACTCATTCCACTACCTTTCCTAATAACTACATTAAAGAACAGAATTTAAAATGTGGGTTTTGAGTGCCAGGTTGCTCTGATATTACTTCTCTAAAGGAGAATCTTGGTAACCTGTTCAGATTTGTTGAAGGAATAATCAAGGGTGGATTAAAGAGAGCCATTAGAATTAATTTGGACTTTCAAAAAGTCTTTGATAAAGTTTCTCACTGGAAAATATTGGAGTGTCAGAATTGCTTCTCTGCTTTCCTCTTGCATTGGGTAGGGAATTGTGGAAGTTGGTAACTTACTGAAGTCCAAATGTGCCCCCTCTCCAGTTATTTGTGGCAGGGAAGTAATGGCTGCACAGAGTCTACTGTCCCTCTTTCACATGGACCTAAGGTCCAGGGATGCTGTACAGGGGCTTGAAGGTGGAGAGTACGATTTAATCCTCTTTACATCCTGTCTGGCTCTGGTAAGATCACCCTCAAGCTGCAGTTACAGTAGATAGGAACACATTTTACTAGGGATGTCAATTGCACTGCAGGAGAGTAGGCCCCTAAATGCCTGATCCAACACTCACTGAAGTCCATGTTAGTCTTTTCATTGATTTTAATGGACATGGATCATATCCTAACTGCCTGGAGTTAGGAAGACTCTTCCCTGCCTACATAGGCAGCAATATTGTGTAAGGCTATGTCCTCACTTGGGGGGGGGGGGTGTCGATTTAAGATACGCAAATTCAGCTACGCGAATAGCGTAGCTGAATTCGACGTATCCGAGCCGACTTACCCCGCTGTGAGGACGGCGGCAAATCGACCTCCGCAGCTCCCCCGTCGACGGCGCTTACTCCTACCTGCGCTGGTGGAGTACAAGTGTCGATTCGGGGATCGATTGTCGCATCCTGACGAGACGCGATAATTCGATCCCCGAGAGATCGATTTCTACCCGCCGATTCAGGCTGGTAGTGAAGACGTAGCCTAATTGTCCAGTATGGGTGATTTATACTTTCTTCTGAAGCATCTTGATGCTTGCAAACAAGATACCAGACTGGATGGACAAATGGTTTGTAGGTGGAGAGTACGATTTAATCCTCTTTACATCCCGTGTGGCTGTGGTAAGATCGCCCACATCTGCAGTTACACTAGATGGGAACAAATTTTACAAATGGACGTTATGTGAATTCCTATTACGTTATGCTTTTTAAAGCATATTCATATGATACTGAATTTAGAACATTTATAAAAAAAGAAAAAAGGCATAGCAGGGAAAAATGAAATGAAACTACTAGTTAAACACTGATGGACACGATTTTCTTATCTTTAGGGTAATAATCATGCAGGGCTTTGGAGCTGTGCTCTGGCTCCACTCCAGCTCCAGGCAAAAACCTGCAGCTCCACTGCTCCGGAGCTGCTCCAGCTCTGGGCTCCACTCCAAAGTCCTGTTAAATCATGTACTCTTTCTTCTTGCTGATTACTTTAAGGGGCAGGGATGGAAGACAGCAGATTCTTATCTCACTGTGATACTTGTCGGTGAATGTATGCAGCAATAGCAAGTGGGCAATAATTGGCTATGATATATACAATAAGTTGTCTGTCCTCTTTCCCACCTCTCAGTGGCAGTAATAATTGGTTAGGAAACAAAAGATCTTTCAGGGTAAAAGGCAAAGATTTTCGCACTGTCTAGGCCATAATATCTTCGTGCCCCATTGTATTTAGAAATAACAGTACGACACCTCTCAGAATGGGTGCTTATTTAGGCCTGTTTCTCTTACTTTAATTTAAGACCTGCAAGGACAGTTTAAAGGTATTGGGTAAAATTTTCAAAAGCACCTAATAGACTTCGTTTAGTGGGAGGTAGGCTTCAAAGTCAGTTTTCAAAATTTTACCCACTGCTTGCCTAGGTTGACATACCTTTACAACTTTATTTTTATTACATTTTGATGCCAGATTACATTCTCTTATGCATGATGAACTTTCATTCTCTAAATTTGAGTAGAGAACAACTATGAAAAACCGCTTCTATACACTATTCCAAGTTACAAAATCTATGATTTTGCTGTTCCATATTCCAAAATGAGTGTGACTACACAAAGTAAAACCTTTGGCTGAAATCCAGGCTTAGAATGTTACGTATTATCTCATGGTAGTGATTTTTTTTGTTTTTGTTTATCCAAATGTGCAATAAAACTTTACTTTATTTGAAAGAATTTCTTTGTTTTACTTTTTCAATACAGGAGTGGGTTGGACAAGTGGAAATAAGTGCCCTTTCTCTTATGTACAAGTAAGCAAAATTTGAATACTATTTAATGAGTCATATAATGGGAAAAATGTAACCTATTTCAATTAATCAGGTGCTTATATAAAGTATTTATTTGGCTAATTTAAACATTAATTGAAATATTCGCTCTTAAAATAATGGAACATTCATGTTGAAAAACCAAACTGTCAATGAAATATTACTTTCAAAGTACTTAGGTGAGCTTTAGGTGCATGAAGTTGCATGTTACTTTGTGTGAGGTTCTATGCAGTTTACATTTTAGGCTGTCAGTGAGACTCAGTTTTAAAGCCATGAGCTCTGGACAGAGGAAAGATGATTGAAGTGGTCATATTTAATGTCTAAGGACAGGCTGCTGGTGGTCTTGTTGCTTCATTACTTTTTGCTGGCTAGTTATGGGCCAAATTTAGCGGTAGTGTAGACAGGCGCAACTCCATTGAAGTCAGTCATTTCATTTGCTTGCACCAGGTCTAAATCTGGACTTGCATCTCTAGGCAGAACCACTTACCAGCCCTCATAGCTGGAGGGGGAAGTCTGGTGGTGAAATAAAAATAGATAAATTGCTTTGAAGGCAGGATATATTTGCATCCAGGACCCCAAGTGGTAATTAAACACCAAGACAGACACATATAAGGGAACCTCCTCTTCTCATTAGCAAGTGGTGGGAGGAGTGTGGTGCTTGTATTTCCCTGCAGAGTGAAAAATGCAAGAATTTTTTCAGTTTTGCACCCCTACTGGGAAAGGGGCAGTAGCAGAGGCAATGGCATATTTAGAGGGGAAACCACCACCTCCTCTTTCTGGAAGAGGTGGAAGGAAAAATCGTGTTTCCCTTCCCCCTTTCTGAGAGAAGAAATGGAAACAAGAGGAGGTATAAATTTCCAGGCATAGGGAGGGATGACAGGCTACTCTTGCCAGGCACTAGTCAAGAAAAAAATGGAAGACCAGACCAGTTTGTGCTCCACTGCAGCCTTTGTTACTGACCTTTTGTTGGCTGGTGTCTGGTAATTTTTTCTAGATCTCCAGAAAAGAGATGGCTCCCCTGAAAGACAGAAGAACTTAACAATCAAGGAGATTTAGAATACATTTTTCCTTTCCAAACTATTTCTTCTAGATTTGTTTTTAGAATATTTTTCTATCTCTAAAAATTTACCTATGAACACATGACTTAATCTTGCAGAGTTTTAGTGTTTCTGATTAGCCTAGGAGACGAAGAAATTGAAAAACAATAGTGATTACTGAACAAAGAATTAAAATAGGTGGGAATTTTATCCAAAGGATAAATACAAAGATAATGATTAAAATAAAGTTAAGATTATGATGACAGAGATTGATAACAACTTGGAAATGAAAAGTGAAGATTGATATTCTCTTTCACTCATGCTCTTGTGGAATAGAAAAGGCAAATAAGATATCATGTGGGTTTTAACTGTGAATTTTCCAGTTCTTGTTAGTTTGTATCACATTTGACATTTTATGTGCTACTTTTTAAGGTAATAAAAGAATTTTTTTTTTAAAATGCAAATTTGGAATATGCTAAGTTATAATATGGAATAGGCTGTTTGTGTTGAATCCTTCTAAGTGTGATATGGCAGTATTATTTCCGCTTGAAAAGCCATCCCTGCATTTGTGCAACATCTACTTGGCAACACATGCCTTTGTAAAAGATGAATCTCAGTGCTCGTGCAGCATGCTGGGTTGACAGCTTTGGAGATGGAAATCCTCGAACTGCACAACAGTTCAGTGTGGCACGGATAGTCAAAGCTTCCTCATGTTGCCTCACCAATGTGCTTCAACTCTGTTATAGGAATAAGGAAGCAGCCCAGTCTCCATGCCCGTTAATATATTATTATTTGTATGCAAAGCAACAAATGAGTTGCAACTGGTTACCATATTTCATTAGCCATTTGACAAGAAATGAAACAAAATTACACTGTTATTTTTTACTTCTTGACTATAGTACTTTAACCATTGTAAACTAGTGGAGTGAGAAGTTCTATGAGAATTTTGAATAGTTACTTGGGAGAGAAAGGGAGAAACATCCTGACTTAAACTACCTTCTGCATTTGTCGAGATTGTTAATGCTTTGATATTTATGATACTGAATTTTATGGTCTGATGTTTCCAAGTTTAACTTTTACTGGTTTCATACAGAGAGATTCTAAGGCCTGGTCTACACTAACCCCCCAAGTTGAACTAAGGTACGCAACTTCAGCTACGTGAATAACGTAGCTGAAGTCGACATACCTTAGTTCGAACTTACCGCGGTTCAGACGCGGTCCACACGCGGCAGGTAGGCTCCCCGTCGACTCCGCGGTACTCCTCTCGCCGAGCTGGAGTACCGCAGTCGACGGCGAGCACTTCCTGGTTCGACTTATCACGTCCAGACCAGACGCGATAAGTCGAACAGAACTTCGATCCCCAGCCGCCGAACTAGCGGCTGGGTGTAGACCAGCCCTAAGTTAACTGTGTGTAATGAATTTATATATCATGTTAATTCTTTAGAGGAATAGTATTGTATCAATCTGCAAGGTTCACTTGTACTTTGGGCTGGTCGAAATTCTCTGAATGTGTTTGTTTTTGGGCAGAAAATTGAGGTTTTTTGTTTTTGTTTTGTTTGTTTTTCTTTAGTGCCTAGTTTCCATGGTGTATGTGGTTTTTTTTTTTTTTAACCTGAAAACTGACACATTTTGACTTAGAAATACTGCTGTGGTACTGCATGGAAGTTATAGTTCAGTTGCCTCATGACCCCATTGTCCTCTATGGCCTGGGTTTCCCCAAGACGTACCATGGCCTAGGATCCCCATGATGCACTGCTTTCCCTCTCCAGGGGGGTGAAGGACCATAGCGCACCATAAGAGATGTAGTTCAACCAGAGAGCTTGGCCTATAGAGGAAAATAAGAACACGAGACAACCAAACTACAGCTCCCATGAGGTACTGCACCAGGAGTTCCAAAATATTTTGGTATTTGAATTTCTGCTGAGAAAATCAAAATTTTCTGTGGCAAATAAGCCCATTTTTTTTTTTTTTTTTTACTATCTCTGCTTATACTGATGTTAATCACTATTCTTTTTTATTTTTTTAAGGAGTCTTTTTTTTATGCGTAGATAGTCCTTGAATTTTCACTTGAATTCTCACTCTGAATATATTTTCACTTGAATTCTTGTTTTTTCTAGGAAGGATTTTATAATATATCAGGAACCAAATGCTTCTCCTTCACGTGTAACTGAAAATGACTTTCCTGACAAGGTAAAACAAAACCAAACAAAAATATTTTTATGACTAATATAAGATGCAATTATCAATTAAAATGTTCTTAAAGCATATAGTTAATCACAGTTCTCATTACTCAATACATAAGTAATATATCTTTTTAATAGCCTAGGACTTGTTACAGTTTGAGAATGTCACAACAGTCTTCTCTTTGTAATGAAAAATGAAACAACAATAAAATTTATAAAACTGTGTGGCCCCTAGTTTTGGACATTTAATGGAACAATAGAGTGAAATAATAACTTATGTCTCCAGAAATAACTCATATTTGGTAGCTATTGTTAGGTACTAATATGTAGTTGGTTTATTTAAAAAGGGGTCTTAAATTCCTTATTATTGTACATGTTTATAACATCAAATTATCTGCTACAAATCAAACCTCTTACATGCATTTTTCTGTATTAGCAGAATTTTTCTAGTTGACTAGATCCAGTATATATCCACAGAAAATTGTAGTATCTTTTTTCTCACTAGTGATTATGAAGCCCTGAAAATTTTGCAGCACAGTATGTGGGCACATAGAATTGCATTAAAAAAGATGCTGTTAACTTTATAAAATGATCACATGACAAATCACTTGTTTAAATATCCTTTCTCTCCTCTTCTCTAGGTACTACTGTGTTTTTCAAATGGAAATCACTATGATATCGTTTATCCTATAGAGTATACAGAAAGAGCTGCTTTGTGCCAATGTAAGTACTATTTTGGTTGCTAAGTTTTGCAGTAAAGTATATGGTTTCACCAAAGGCCCAAAAGAGTGATTGCTATTTGTTTTGCACTATTAACAAATCTTCATCTAGAGCTCTTTTCCTTTGCTTAAAGTATAGTTGTACCTAAACCTACCATTGTAGTGATGTGGTTTTCAACTCATGTCGAACTAGTCAACAAAGGCTACATCATCCAGACCAGGGATTTGGATTATGATCTTGTCATCTTTTGAGGCATGATGAAATTGATTGCGTATAGTAAAGAAAAGAGAGAGACCAGTATTTATGATTTGTAAAGCTAAATGCAAAAGAAATAGAAAAGGATAGCTTAGTTCCTCTTTATTGGGCCTGGATATTCTATCATTGAGACTTCAACCTCCTAATTCACAGTAATTGCATTATCACTTGGCCACAATGCCAGTTTTATATCTGTACTCTAAACAATAAGAGAAAGTTTGTCAGTGTTAATCTTGGAGTTCTTGCATGTCTGAATTTCCACTGAAGTCAGGTGTGTTAATGAGCATGAATGAGAATTGAAGGGTTAGGCCCTAAGTAAAATAAACTTTTTTGTCTTTTTTTTACTGGATGTTTATTTTTTATTGTTGCAGTAGTGCCCAAAGTCCTCTGTCAGGTATGAGGGCCCATTGTGCCAGGCACTCTACAGACATAGGCCTTGATTCTTCAATCGAGCACAGTGTGCATGCCCATCCAATTGCACGATTGGGGTCAAAGTCACTATCCCAAAGAGTTGAGGGCTTAGGTTTTAGTAGTGCTGAGTCCCCACAGTTGAAATCAGTGGGAACTTCAGGGACTCTGCACTTGTAAAAATCCGGTGTTTATAATCTGTAAATTGTAACTCCATTTCTTCTTCACCTAACATTTCAAAAAGTTTTCTTGACACTATTTAAAATAACCTCTCAGATGTTGAGTAAAATCTCATTTGCAGTCATTAAATCCTAACTGATTTTCCCCCCAGCTCTTCTTTATGAATTGCTGTATGAAAAAGTGTTTTGTACTGATGTGAATAAAATCCTAGTGGAACTAGGTGTGACAGAGGAAAATAATGGTAGCAGTGAAGTGTCTGATTCAGATTCAGAAGACGACAACTGCAAGTAAGGGATATTTTAAAATTAATTATTAAATTATGGTTGAGCAATTCACAGTGATTAGATAGTCAGTAGAGCTCCTGGCAGGGAGCAAAATACTGTGTGTCATTTTAAAAATAGTTTACTTACAAGAGGGAGGAAAAAGGTCGAGGGTGAATTGTAATGCTCATGAAAGTATGAAATTTGTACTGTTCACTAGATCTTACATAGGATTTTGTGGTGCCTTCTGCAATCAGAGGCGTGGTTTTGCCTGCATTCCAGGTTTGGATCACCTGTAGTAGAGGAAGGTCTATCACTGCTGCATGCCCCCTCTTCCTGTCAAACCACAGAAGCCGCTCTATGGGGAATTTGACAGTGTTCCAGCTTCATACGTGAGGGAGGGAATGTAATGAGGTATGGGGGCTGGCTCTGTTGGATTCTCCTCATGCTGAAAATCATTGGAGGAAGCTGGTGGAAGCTACTACAGAAAGAAGGTCAAATTCTGATCTTGTTTAAATGTGTGTAAATAGTGAGTATCTCCATAGACTACAGAGGAATTACTCCTGATTTACACTGGTGTAACTGAGAGCAGAATTTAGACAAGAATCTGCTTCAACTTGTGCTGCTTTCTTCTCTGTGGATTGCCCACTGGGAGGTCAATTGGGGGAGCCCCTGGCAGTATGGCTTTTGCAATGTATCAGTTTTTGGATCCTTATGAGCATATGATGCTAAATAATAAGGCATTTTTGTAACTGAGAGGGCATATAGTCATTTGAGACTAGATTGAGACCACCAAACTCATTACCAATGTGAGAAAGCTAGTACATGTAACCTTACTCCTGTCTCAACACAAATTACATACATTTTGCTGCTTCCGTTAAGCAGTATTTTAAAATGATTTTTCTTGTTTTTAGGGAAAAGTTGAGATTAGTATGTGTGTTTTCTTAATTATTTATCTGGAGGGAGTTTTATATTTTTTTTTTGAGGAAGAGTGAATTTAATTTTATAGAAATTAAAATTTTGCCATAGCTGCTATTATGTAATGAAGAAAGCAGTAATCTGTTCAAATGCAGAAGATCTCCTTCAGCTGCTCTTAGAAACAAATGATGTTTTTTCCCCTCTGTTCATGGGAAGCAAACTTTCCAATAGTAGCAGGTGTAGAAGATGAGGGAAAATGAGAATGACCAGACTCAGGCTAGGTAATATGAGTTGATTAGATGGCCTCATTTGTTTCTTCAGTTGAGTCAGGTTGTTTTCTCTCAGGCCTGATTGCTAAAGTCTCAGCTAAAGGACTTACATTTCCTGTTTCAAATTTTTACTGGGTGAGTTGCTAAATCTAATTTGGAACTGTACTGTCTGTACTGAATTTTATTTGTGAATATAACAAGAGAGTAACTTTCAATTTGGGGAACTTCATAATTATGCTTCTAAGAGCAATATATATTCACCATTGCATATAGTGTGAAATTTTTTAGCTTCATTATGAAGGTTAGGGGTAATTCTTGTGTACAATATGGAAGGTATTTCTGATCAGTTTATGAATCCTAATTTCAACTACGTCATTTAAAGCATCTTATTCTTTACAGAAGTAAAACTGCTGCAGTTAATGATATGAATGGATTAAAGTCTCTTTCTGGCAACAAGGTATTTTTACGTTAACACTTCTTTCCTATTTAGTTGTATTTGGCTGTATTTTACAAAGGTTAATGTTTCTCGAGTAACTTGAGTTTCTTCATTTTAAATATGGTACATTAGGAGAACTATATAGTTCTTAAAGTTATATTCAAATTTGCATTAGAAATCTCAGGGGTTAGGGGCCATCCTTACTGTTTCTTAGTGTCTAGCTTTGTTGCTGTATGTTGAAAGGAAATTCCCTTTCATAGCTGTTAATGGTTTTATAAGCATCTAACTGCTTTACATTCCAGTTTGACACTTGTGAGTGATCTGATACTAAATGAGCGGCTGTAAATCTGTATGTATTTGGTCACTTGCTACTTTGTTCTGTTTTGTACAGCACCTTAAGAACAATGGAAATCCCACCTTATTTTTGCCTAGAAAAGTACTTCAGTCACTCAATCCGTCAGTTTACAGAAATGTTGAATATGAAGTTTGGCTAAAGTCAAAACAGGGTAAGTTAGTATTTAAGGCCCCATCCAGAGCCCCTCTCTGTCAAGCTGATCTATAAGGGTGGGCTCTGTGAAGTCCCAAAAATGCTATGAGCAGGTGCAGGGATCTGCCCACATGTGTCAGCTTGCAGATTCAGGGCCTAAATAGTTATTTCAGTCCCAAGATACTAATGGGACAAAAATTAAATTAAATTAGATTGTTCTTTGTTGCAGTGCCTAAACTATTTTTATAATAGGTGGAAAATTATTGTAATCTGACTGGTATATACTGATGTTGTTTACAGATCAGCAAAAACGGGATTTTTCCATTGCTGCTGGCATGCAATATTCAGTTGGAGATAAATGTAAAGTAAGTAGTTGGTTGAAATAGTAACTTCTTTGCCTTGTGTCCTGGAGACCAATTTTTTCCTTGGCTTTTGGTTTAACTGCATTGTTAATATTTTCTATTTAAATTTTTTTGCTTACATTTAAATGAGTATGCTCATTTATTATGTGAATACCCTTAGTTGGAAACTCTGCCAATAAAGATGCAGTAGGATATGCTTGGGGAGCATAAAGTGTGATAAAATTTATTATGCAAAAAGGCCTCAGTCCTGCAGACACTCGTGCTTAATGTCCCAAGTTACATTCAGTAGGACAGTTGATGTGCTTAAATTGAATCACATGCATAAGTGTTTGCAGGGCCTGAGTCTGCATCCAAAAACTAACACTGGTGCCTGTCTCACAAACTTTTGCACCCAGTCTTAATTTTATGATTTATTTTAGGCCATTTATTGTAGAATAAGGTGGTTTATTTAAAAAAAAAAAATCAGTTTCTAACTAGGAATAAAGTAGTGCTGTTTTGGGCAAGAACGCTGGGGATATCTAAGTGAAATAGGAAGAAGACACTGAAGCAGAGTTAAAAAGATGGAGATTTTGCTGTAGCAGTGTTCCTAACCATGCCCTGTGGATTCTGTTGCAAGTAATGGAAAGTTTGTTCATCTTATGTTTTTTATTATATTCTGTACTAACTTAATTAAATGTTTTAATATCCAGGCATCACGTTATTGCAAAGGGGAAAAGTGACAGCCGTACTTCTGAATTTCTTGATGAGAAAAAATAGTGATTGGATGCTTAAAAACAATAAATCTTGACATAAAACAAAGTGGGGAAAAATCATAATATTTAACCGTATTTTCATTACGCATCCGGTATTCTATTGTATTATTATTGTAGTGCCTACGGGACCATTTGGGATTCAGGGCCCCATTGTGATAGGCACTTCACATGGACACACACACAGACTCTCCATGCTCCTGGGATTTTACAATCTCTGTATATGGTAGGATAATGATAGCTGCATTTAAAAACCAAACCAAAAAAACCCAACAAACAAGTGGGATGGGGACAACAGTATAAGGATAAACAGTGAAACGTGATTAGTGTGGTGAGTAGCCTCAGCACATAAAATGCCTATACACGTTTTATTGTTCCTTAATCTTAGGAATGTAAACGTTATGTCTGCAGAAACCACAGTTAATCAGTATCATGACTATTTTTTTTACAAAAGAATGAAATATGTATGTTTTTATTTAAAAAATAAAAACACTGACAAAATAATTGTTTCAGGAGGTAAACTTTTGAAAGGACTGGTATTAATATCCCTAGTGAGACTACATTAATAAAGTCCCATCTGTGTCAAAAAATGTTCTATGCTAGAATTTTAACCAAGCTAAGCATACTTTTCAAAACCGTATGTTGCTATCCTTTTCTCTAATGCATTACTTGCTTTTAAGTGTTATTCCACGTTGGTTTGAAGGCTGTGATTTCTCCAACACTGTATAGAGTAATGCTGTCGGGGAATCTTTTTTGTATAGGGTCATTCAAATAAGTAGTAGGGATTAAAGTTTACCTTTGATTATTTTTAACACTATCATAGAAGCAACATTTCTTGATGTCCCCCAGGACTTGTTATTGCCAAGGGGGCAGTTGCTGACATTGCTGGGTGTTCAAGGGTTAAATCTTCCCTTTTTTAAAAAAAATAATAATAAAGGAAAAATATATGGAGATATACCTATCTCATAGAGCTGGAAGGGACCCCGAAAGGTCATTGAATCTAGCCTCCTGCCTTCACTAGCAGGACCAAGTACTGATTTTGCCCCAGATCTTGAAGTGGCCCCCTCAAGGATTGAACTCACAACCCTGGGGTTAGCAGGCCAATGCTCAAACCACTGAGCTATCTGTCCCCCCCATTTTGCCATAGCACTACTTAGGGGGAGGGATAGCTCAGTAGTTTGAACATTGGCCTGCTAAACCCAGGGTTGTGAGTTGAGTCCTTGAGGGGGCCATTTAGGGAACTGAGGTAAAAAAATCTGTCGTCCCTTTTCTTTGAGTGTTCTTTATGTACTACTCACAACGTCTTTTTCCTTATAATTTTTCCACAGGTGCGCTTAGACCACAATGGGAAATTTTATAATGCCCATATCCAAGAGGTTCGCTCTGAGAATGGGCCAGTTATTGTTTTTGTAGAAGAGCTTGGAGAAAAGTAAGTAAACTTTTCATATATAAGTTTATCATATAGAACTTTATTAATGCAGGTTCCCCCCTTTTTAGTGTTTGACATCATCTGCTTGATCATTTTACCATAGCAGTACTTCAGATAAAGGGCTGGTTGCATTTCAACAGTAACTGAAACTGTCTGAACAACAGTTACGTTGCTATTCTAAAAGTGTGAACTTACTCCCCAACCCTATCTACACACAGTATAAAAACATCTTGTAGCTGTGTACCTCTGTAAATTATGGTATATTTTAGGACTGTCAAGCAATTAAAAAAACGAATTGTGTGATTAAAAAAATTAATTGCGATTAAACAATAGAATACCATTTATTTAAATATTTTTGGATGTTTTCTACATTTTCAAATATATTGATTTCAATTAGAATACAGAATACAAAGTGTACAGTGCTCTTTTTATATTTATTTTTCATTACAACGTAATACAAGTACTGTAATGCACTCTCTATAATAAAGTTGAACTTACAAATATAGAATTATGTACAAAAAATAACTGCATTCAAAAATAAAACCATGTAAAACTTTAGAACCTACAAGTCCACTCAGTCCTACTTCAGCCAATCGCTCAGACAAACATGTTTGGTTACCATTTGCAGGAGATAATGCTGCCCACGTCTTGTTTACAATGTCACCTGAAAGTGAGAACAAGCTTTCGCATGGCACTGTTGTAGCCGGCATTGCAAGATATTTACGTGCCAAAGGTGCTAAAGATTCATATGTCCCTTCATGCTTCAACCACCATTCCAAAAGACTTGTGTCTATGCTGATGATGGGTTCTGCTTGATAACGATACAAAGCAGAGCGGACTGATGCATGTTCATTTTCATTATCTGAGTCAGATGGTGGCTTGGGTTCCGTAGTTTCCGCATCAGTGTTGCTCTTTTAAGACTTCTGAAAGCATGCTCCACACCTCGTCCTTCTCAGATTTTGAAAGGCACTTCAGATTCTTAAACCTTGGGTCGAAGTGCTGTAGCTATACTTAGAAATCTCACATTGGTGCCTTCTTTGCATTTTGTCAAATCTGCAGTGAAAGTGTTCTTAAAAACGAACATGTGCTGGGTCATCATCTGGGACTGCTGTAACATGAAATATATGGCAGAATATGGGTAAAACAGAACAGGAGACCTACAATTCTCCCTCAAGGAGTTCAGTCACAAATTTAATTAACGCATTATTTTTATTTATATACTTCCGCATGGAAGCATGTCCTCTGGCCGAAGCATGAAGGGGCATACGAATGTTTAGCATATCTGGCACATAAATACCTTGCAACGTCGGCTACAAAAGTGCCATGCCTGTTCTCACTTTTAGGTGACATTGTAAATAAGAAGTAAATAAAAGCATTATCTCCTGTAAATGTAACCAAACTTGTTTTGTCTTAGCAATTGGCTGAACAAGAAGTAGGACTGAGTGGACTTGTAGGCTCTAAAGTTTTACATTGTTTTGTTTTTGAGTGCAGTTACGTAACAAAAAAAATCTACATTTGTAAGTCACACTTTCACGATAAAGAGATTGCACTACTTGTATGAGGTGAACTGAAAAATAGTTTTTCTTTTGTTTATCATTTTTACAGTGCAAATATTTGTAATAAAAAATAATATAAAGTGAGCACTATACACTTTGTATTCTGTGTTGTAATAGAAATCAATATATTTTTAAATGTAGAAAAACATCCAAAAATATTTAATAAATTTCAATTGGTATTCTATTATTGAACAGTGCGATTAATCACAATTAATTTTTTTGAGTTAATCGCATGAGTTAACTGTGATTAATTGACAGCCCTAGTATATTTATTCTTTAATAAACTCAAATTAGAGCATTTTCTGTACAAACTCCAAACCTAGACAGCATGATATTTTCCCACTAGGGAATTACTGGTAATGCTTCTGTAATTGGATGCTAGAACTGTGGCTAACTTTTATGTTCAAAGTGTTGTGAAAGGGAATAGCAGACTTATGTAATCACTAATTAACTCTTTAGTCTGATTTCATACAGAAAGAGCTGTGTGTTGATTGAATTAATACTCATGTCTTTATCCCCAGATATCATGGCAACAAAATGGCTCAGTTATCTGAGCCATCTCCCTTTAAGTTGTATTGTAGGTGCTGTAACTTCTTCCTCACTCTCTCACAGAATAACTCCTGATCATATGATAAGGGTTGAGGAGAGTTGTTGAGGGAAATCTCTCCAATGCTAAGGTTTGAAGAGAGGAATCCAGACAGGGAACACTTTCTCCAGTCATAGCATTGGGAAGGAAGGAGTAAGACACTTGGCAACTGTGATGTCATCTTGCAAAATTGTATTTTATTTTGCAAATTTGCTATAGTTATATTAGAACTGCCTTTAATAGGTGCATGGAGTAACAGTCAGTTACAGTTCAAGTTTAAACCAGTAACTCATCCACCCCCCCACCAAACTGAATATCTTCATATCCGATAATTCAAATGCCACTTTCAGTTCATGCTGCCTGCCTAGATAAAAGCAATCAATGCTCAGTAATTTAAAGTTAGTTTATATCCCTGGCTATATCCCTAAATCTGTCGTCATGTTCCTGACTAACACGGCTGCTACTCTGAAATCTGCCCAGTGTGCTGCTCTTTGTGACATTCTGTAAAGATTAAGATGGAAAAGCCCTGTAGTTTCCAAATCAAGGACATACGTACATGTTTGTCCACAAAGCTTTAGAAAGTGCTGATAAGTTGTCTGTTTTCATACTTCGTCAAGGGAGGAAAGTAGACATAGTCACTGGTCTCATTAATAGAATGTACTTACTATCCCTCTGCCTTGTCTTTGTGTCAGGATGTTAAAATATCTATTTTATACGTAAAAATCGATACGCTATTCTCCCTCCCCTCAAAAAATATAAATATATATATATTTTTAACAAAACTTGTTTTTGGGTTATTTTCATTACAAAATAGCATCGTTATGAGTTAAAATTGTGCGTGTTCTGTACAAATTGTTGAAAACTGTTTCAGTTTAGAACCTTATTTCTGTTTCTGAGAACTCAAAACCATAAGACCTTTAACTTTTTTTTTTTTTTTTTTTTTTTTTTTTTTAAGTTCTTGTAACATTTTTTACACTTTTGATTAAAGAAATTTTGATTTTTTTTTTCCCAGAAACAGAAAAGAGCCTTCTGTCATAGTAAACATTTGGTGTTTGTTTATACAAACCCCAGTTCAATCTATAGACCTCTTTATATTTTTTTTCTCTTTCTGTTATGCAGGCATGCTGTCTCACTGAAAAGCCTTAAACCACTTCCACAGGCATCTCCTATGGAGGGCTGGAATACTGTGTCAGGGAAGAAGATAAAAAAGTTCTCTACAGCATGTGGGCAAAATATTCAGCCTGGTAGGATTCTTCCCTCTTCTAATTGCAGAAACATTGTCTCTAGTAATTGTGAGAAAAATCTTATGAAATGTTTCTGCTTCTGTGACACAGAGGCAGACTGCAGAGGGCCAAAGAATCAAAGCAAGCCAATAAAAACCCAGTCAGTGCTACCTCCTCGACAACAGTATGCTGTGGGAACCAGACTACATCAGTTCTCACAGTCTCAGCAGACATCTACTGAGCACAAAACTCCGGGCAGGAATCCCTCCCAGTCTGTAAGGTAAAATGAGAAATAAGATCTTCATTATCTTGGGCCTTGGCCATTTACAGCTCAAAGGCTTGTTTCTTGTGCATCCCAGCTGATGTTCAATATCAAATGTGACAGATATGGCAATATCCTTGAAAGACCTTACTGTATTAAGTTTAACAAAAAAAATTATTTATTAGTGTGGGCTGGAATTGTATGTAACCTCTTTAGAGGGGAGATGTGACAGATGTGAGACTTGGGAGTTCAACAGACTATACTGAAATTGTGCCAGGCAAGTATGGACTTTTGGGACAATAAGTGTTAAGTGGATTTTCCCGGGAATCTCTAAAGAGGTTAATGCAAATTCCCCAACTCTGGTTATGCAAAAACGTAGCCTTTTGAAGTTACTTCCTGAGGAGAGGGTGATTATCTGCTGATTACCTAAAAATAACAGGAGTACTTGTGGCACCTTAGAGACTAACAAATTTATTAGAGCATAAGCTTTCGTGGGCTACAACCCACTTCTTCGGATGCATATAGAGTGAAATATATTGAGGAGATATATATACACACATACAGAGAGCATGAACAGGTGGGAGTTGTCTTACCAACTCTGAGAGGCCAATTAAGTAAGAGAAAAAAAACTTTTGAAGTGATAATCAAGATAGCCCAGTACAGACAGTTTGATAAGAAGCAAGTGTGAGAATACTTACAAGGGGAGATAGATTCAATGTTTGTAATGTTTTTTTGTTTGTTTGTTTGTTTGTTTTTTTTTTCTCTTACTTAATTGGCCTCTCAGAGTTGGTATATATGACCATTTATATCATTGATTTTACCAATTGTTATACAATAGCTACAAGTCTTGTACAACATATGTCATGTATGGTGTCAATGGTCATATATCATCACAACCTTTATATTTTATCGAGTATTCAAGTTTTTAGCCAAGAACAGGTTTACAGAGCTGTTCACAAGTCACTTAACTTCCACGTGTTGCACCATAATAATTGAGTAATATCTATCCCAGTATAAGTGCAGAACCACTACAAGAAAGAACCAAAGCATCCTCTACAGCAGTGGTTCTCAACCAGGGGTCCGGGGCAGGTTTCAAGGGGTCTGCCAAGCAGGACCAGTGTTAGAATTGCTGGGGCCCAGGGCAGAAAGCCGACGTCCCACTGCATGGGGCTGAAGCCGGGGCCCCCGAGCCCTGCCACTTGGGGCTGAAGCCTGGAACCCTGAACAACTTAGCTTCACAGTGCGCCCTGTACCATGGGGCCCTGGGCAATTGCCCTGCTTGCTACCTCCTAACGCGGACCTGCATTTTATATGCAGAAAACCAGTTATTGTGGCACAGGTGGGCCATGGAGTTTTTATAGCATGTTTGGGGGACCTCAGAAAGAAAAAGGTTGAGAACCCCGGCTCTACAGTGTCTCTGAAATTGTCTCTCAGACAAACATTCTGCATTCTCCTGTGGATTTGCCATTGTCTTGAGGCACCAACAAATCACATGTTCTTGGCCATTATGTTTGCTGTGGTGTCGCAGTGACTATGGAAAATTTGGAAGACTTAGTCAAGAAAGAAAAGTTATGAGGGTTTTATGTCTTTTAAGAGTACTTAGTCTTTTACTATCTGGCATTTCACAGAGAGATGGAGTATATTTTGTTTATGTGGCTTCATCAGAAGTTCAGAATAATGCAAAATAAATTTAATAGCATGAAGAAGAAAAACATGTTGTGTATTCTTTTATTGAAATGCATTTATTAGCACTTGAATGTATATATTTGCCCTATGTTAGGATGTATAATACCATGTGAAATAACAAAGGGAGAACACCTTATAAATTATAGGAGAAAATGCACATGATCCAAACTTCTGTTATAGTACCACCTAGGAAGAAACTAAAATGGAATATGTTGTAGATGGAACACACTTTTTTCTCTTAATCCTGATATTTGCAGTTACTATTTTACTATAGGCTTCATGGGACCTGAATAGCTAGTACAGTATGCTGTATTCTCTCAGCTTTCCCCAATTGTAATTCTGGGGTAGCTGAACTCTCACACTTGGTATCCATTTGACTATTTCTTTGACAATTTTTTGGTCATCTTCCCCTACAGAAAACCAGACTGGGAGAGAGCTGAAGATCTGGACTACATTAGCAGAGATTGTAACTACTTTGGCCTGTCTCCAGAGGAACGCAGAGAGAAGCAGGCCATAGAAGAATCTCGCTCACTTTATGAGATTCAGCAAAGGGATGAACAAGCTTTTCCTACTCTTTCTGTATGTATGCTTCAGTAATTGTAGGTAATAAGGTATTTTTAGTGTAGTATTTACAACCTGCCAGTGAATTATAAATTTGAAATTTAGTTCTCTGCACTTGTGAACTTTTCTTATTACTGTTGAAAAGTTAAATGTCTTGTCTTGCATCTCTTCTGTATAAAGTTAAATAAGTACAATATATAGAACTGTAGATCATAGATCAAGACACTTAGCAGTTTTCCTTAGAGAATTACAGATATAAGCATTGGGATGTAATGACTAGAGTGGTCAGTGAAGCCAGAGAGCTCCTTGCTCCATCCATGTAGAAATTAACCGTGTCCCAGCAGACCCTTGAGGCTCAGCTCGGTTTCATGCAAGGAATTTGTACATCCCCTGTACAATTACCCAAATCCTGCCTTTCCTTTGTGTAGAACTACTCTAGTTCTGCTGTTATGGGCCCTCTGTACAGACAGAGGTGGGAGCAGGATTTGTTCTGAAGTACAGTTCTACTCTGACTATAAAAATATCAGTGTGAGTTATAAGACTGTCTCAATTTGTCCAAGTGAAATCTGTTTACTTAGAAGTAAAACAATGGCTTTCCTAACTGCCAGTTCTGCAAACTGAAGCTGGGATCTGAAAATCAAGCAGGGCTCTAACTTGTTCATGTATCGTCATGAGTAATGAAGATTCCTTAGGTTGAATTCTGCTCTTAATTACGAGAAACTCAATTATCTTCAGAGGAGTTGAATAGGTTTAACTGAGTGTGGATTTTAGTCCTTCATTTGAAATTTGGTTGTCCCTTCTGTTGATGTATGAGTCAGGATGGAATTCAGCTTCATCTCCAGTAGCTTGTTGCCTCTGCTGAACTAACAGGAGTATAAAAAACATGCTTTGCTTTCTAAAGTAAGCAGATATAACTCTTAATACATACAGGGAACAGATCTGCTGGATAAGAAGCTGTTGTCTTCACATAATCAGTCTTTGGATTTTGTGGTTTTTTTTTTTTTTTTTTTTGTATTTCAGTCCTGCAGAAAACAGAAGTAGGGAGACAGGCTGAAATAGTAATAGGTGTTAGATTGTGAGGGTAATGGGATTTGAGAGAGACCTTGTGTGTCTTGCTCTTTGGGGACGACAATTTCCAGGCAGAGGGCCTGATTCTGCTTATCTTAAACTTTTCAATGGTGTTATTCCTGACTTCCATCGTTATTCATGAGAAGAGAATCAGGCCCAGGAGAGCTTTCTGGAACCTCCTGGTGAGTAAAGAGCAGAACTAGACTGGAGGAGACCACCATTTCTTTGTTGCAGTGTGGCAAATGCTGTGATGCTCCTGCGCAAATATGGAGGAATATTAGGAATTTAAAATGGAAGAATTTATAGATTCTAGAAGTGGAATAAAACTCCAAAGTTTGTCCATGTAGCCTAATAACCTGAGCTCTTGACTCAAAGGTGAGCCCCACCCTCTCAGAATGCAACAGTGAATTGGGTGGGTAGAAAATTTGAGATTAGAATTTTTTCCTCTGCCTCCTGCTGAAAATAAGCTTGCATTCATGGAGGCCAAGTGTGGTAATTTTAGATGATGGCACATTGTTTTATACATTCCTATAGCCAAGCCTTTTTATGTGAAATGCTGAATTTTGTTTCTCTCAATTTCTTTAGAACCATTTAGTTTGTCAGGCTGCTACGCAGACTGCTGATACTTGCGTAAAGCTCCAAGCTGTTACTGAGAAAAGAAACAGCAGGTGGAAGGGAAATATGGAAGAGCGAAAGGATAAAGGTAGTGTAAAAGAAAATGTTTTCTGGACTAAGCATTATTAGCTTTTATATTAAGTAACCAAGTCTGGGATTTTCAAAGCTGGGGATGTGCCTATATGTGGATTTATGCATCTGACTGGGTACATGAGGGTAAGTTTTTTGTGACAGTGGTCAAGTGCAATGTAGTTGTATGCTTTGGGGAGAAGGTGCTTGTTTTCTTGATTTATGGGTGTGGTCTTTGGGTCAAACAACTTTATAGGAATTTTCAAATTATGTGGGAGGGCACACAACAGGAGCTAAATGCTGAAAAGCTAGGTCTTCTGATCCACATCAAAGTAATTAGGTGCCGGCTCATACTGAAATTAGTGCCAGATTAGCATTGCAGAAACTGCTGATTGAGAAATGCCAGAGATACTTGCTCAAGTGGAAAGAGGGTTCATCTAAGAAAAAGCAAGTAAAAGGGGTTGGTGCCTAAAGTGACTTTATCTAATAAAATTGTAAGGGCAGGGAAAGAAATCGGAAGAAAAGTGTGTGAGTGAGAGATTTAATTTAAAAGTATGTTTGCAATTCAGTAGTGCTGGAGAAGGGTGAGAGGTGTGAGATTTCCTTCTCCCATATTCCTCACAATTCTTTGCATATTTGTAAGGTAACTCCTGGAGGAAAGATAGGGTAACTAAGCTCTCCTACTTCTGGTGGGATTCATTTTGTGGTGGCGATGGGGAAGAAGGTTGCAGTTGTCTAGTGGGAGAGCAGGCAATTGTTGCGTCAACACAAAATGCATCTGCCAATCTGCTTTCTGCCTGTCAGTCTTTTCCCTGCTTACCTCTTCTTTACTGCATCATGTTGAAGATCCTTGGTCTTGCCTTCAAGGATCTATCCTTCCCCATGTACCTATTTTTGCCTCTTTTCACCTCTGTCCCCTTTTCTCCTCTGCTCTGATAAAGACAAATAGGCATTGAAGCGCCTACATCTGATTCACATTTTTTGAAAGTCCCTGCATCAGGCAGAGCAGGGACCTGAACTTAGGTCTCCCACATCCAAGGTGAGTGACCTAACCACTGGACTGTTGGCTTTTCTAAGCTGAGTTGGTCTCTCTTTTTTGTGAAAATTTTCATAAGGTCTCACTTTCATCCCAATGCAGAATGAAAACAGATTGAAACCTTGAAAATGTTTGTGAAACAGAAATTTTGTTTTCCGGCCAGCCCTACTTATTTTGGCTTATTCTGCTTTCCACGTTTATGCTATTTTGAAGTAACGTATAATTGAGCTGAAGTAGAAAGGTCATGATAAATCTGAAGATTTAACTTTGGAAAGACAACTTGTTATATTGACTGAAGTTGTGACTATTATAAATGATTTGATGCTTCATTTACAATGTTATATCTTTTGGTATTACAGATTCAAATTCCAGGCAGGTCCACTTCAGTCAGAAGTTTGAGTCAAATTCATCTGAGGTAATTTAAAGAAAAGACCAAACCAGTTCTTTCTCCCTCTCCTGCCCTGTCTCCCTCCCTTCCGTATATGCAGTAAGGTGGCTAGCAGAGAGGTAGCTGTCTTCAGAGCCAAGGCTGCTGCTGCTTTAGTACTTTTTGTAGATTATTGTAGGAGGGAGACTTGTCTTATTTTCAACCTTCCTCAGAACCTTTAAACGTCTGTGTATGTAGTCTCTCCCTGCAATGTAAATTCCACAACTTGGGCTATTAAGAGTGCTTCTGAACCTGGGTCTCTATTTGCTGGTGTACCCCATATGTTCGCAGTGTGGGTCTCTGTTCCCCTCTAGTGGTTGTACTTCACAGGTTTGAGTCTGCATGGTTTAGGATCTAGAGGTTCTCACTGTGATCCCTGCTGCCAACAGGTCATCAACAGGCATCACAGTAGGCTTGCCATAGTAGCAATCTGACAAACACTCATCTGATGGCCAGCCCACCTTTTAACAAAGTGTTGTGTGCTTAATATCTTTAATGGCATTAAAAAAAAGGGGAAAAAAAACAGAATAGCACTGACTCTCCATTTTAACTTTGTAATAGGTGAATGGTGGAGATGACAAGTATCCAAAAGCTTCATCTCCTTTGAAACAAGGAAAGACACAATCTCAATCTCCTGCTGAACAAGTAAGGAATGTTTGTTTAACCTTTGGGTTTTTCAGTCATGAGGCCTCAGTGCATTCTTGCCATCACAGCCATATAGCTATTTAAGATAATTACTTTGTATTGTGGTAATGCCCAAAGCCCCCCAGTTAGGATTGGAAACCCATTATGCTATGTGCTATATGAAGACCTCGTCCCTATCCGAAAGATCTTGCAATTTAATTATAAGGGTCATTCCAGGAGTTTGAGTAAGGGGTTAATCCACATCCACCTTTTAAGTGAATGCTACTTGGGTTAAACACTTCCTTTTTTTCCCCTCCAGCTATTTCACCTTCTGGGACTTTCCCAGAGACCAATATCATTCCTTCTACAATATTCCCAGCTCCTGCTGGTCTAGAAAATTGTTTAAACAACTTTGGTTATGTTTTGATAGCACCAACAGGCTTTGTGGTTGTTACCATCCTCTGATCTGTGCTATTGTAGCACAGTATCATACAAGATGAGTATCTGAGCAGGCCCGCTTGCTTCATTTAGTCAGTGGCTTTTCTTTTTGGAGGTGAAAAACTGTAAATCCATTTATAGTTCTGAGAGTTGCTGAATTTACTGCTTGGAGACGGAAGCCTGATATTTATTCATGGTATCAGTACAACCTTTTCTGGAGAGGTCACCCCTAGGATGAGAGGGTAGTTCAGTCTCTATGCACATTCAATGAATAAGACCAAAGGTGGCTATGCAATTAGGATTCCTATTTTGCCTGTAGCTTGTTAGCTAATGTTACTAGATGGTGTTTTGCTACTGTGACAGTGGCAGCCTGGTTAAGTCTAGATTGTCAAACCTTTGTGAATGGAATGGAATTTAGGCTCTTATTCTAAGTAAGCATTATCTGTGAGCCGTACTAACTTCACTTGTCTCTTTGCTTTATAGAAACTGACAGAACACTTACCATGTGTAAATCCAACTCCCCCTCCTCCCTTCTCTGAGGTGCATTTGCCTCCTACAGTGCCTTCTATTCCAGCCATTGTGCCAGCTTGGCAAAATGAGCCAACTTATCGACCAACAGGTTTGAAGAAATCTTTTTTGGTCTACTTCAGAGACTTATCGTACCATGTTCAGAACAGTCTGTGTATAAAAATGACTTCAAATTGTCTGTGGGTGGGATTTTGAAAAGCAGACATTGAAAGATAATTAGATACTCATCTCTCCTAGTTGCTTTTGAAACTCCCAGTTAGCTTCAGTCATCCATATAAATGTGTCATTGCTAATTAAAATAGTTCGAATGACCCTTTGCCTCTTAAGGGGTAGGGGTTTGGGGGAGTATTACTATTCCATTCCAGCCTGGGTCACTTAGATTCAGCTGTAAGATTCAATTCCCTTTTGTCTTCTGTAAGGGTATTTTTAACTAATGCAAGTGATAAGATTTTTGTTACCACTTTTGGATAGATTCAGTCCCTTTCTGAAAATTGTTCTTTGAATTGAGCCTTCATTTTCCTTCAGCTTCGTTTCAGGACTCCTACCCTTCTGTATCACCCTAAATAATTCATCTTCCTGATGATTTAATCCTTCAATTACTTGCTATCTTCTCTCTATAATGTACTTTAGCCAAATTCTGTGTGTTCATTTCTTTCACTCTTCCCTCTTTCTTAGGTATTCCAACCCAAATACCTGTTTCTTCATTGATGCCGGCCCTGACAACTGGACCTGATTCTGTTGTATCCCAGGCAACATCTGCTCCAGTTGCCGGAGTTCCTGTGTCAATACAAGCAGTTAACCAGCCTTTGATGCCTTTGCCTCAGACACTGAATCCTTATCAGGACCCATTGTTCCCTGGATTCCCTTTTAATGAAAAGGGGGAGAGAGCCATTGCACCACCTTATTCCCTGTGTAATACTGGGGATGATCTGCCTAAAGGTAGGAAACCTTTATATTTTACATTCTTTCTAATGGAATGTCTTTGTTTAAAATCTGGATGAAGGAGAGTGAAATGTATTCCTTTAATTTATTTCTATAAGTGTGGAAAGATTTAACAGTTGCTGTGCTACCATTCTTTGTATAAAAAATAAGTAAATTGTACTGTTCATTTTTAGCTTGTGCTGCTAATGGTAATTATTTTAAGTGGTGATATTCATAACTCTATTGTGAACTTTTAATGGCTCATAATCTGATTCACCAATTCACTTTCTTGCATCAGAGAGAGTCTCGTTTTATGTAGCATATATTTAAAAAAAATAAGATTTCCTTGACCATATTATAGACATTTGTTCCCTGTTATGGTAGTGAAAAATAGCAGATGGAATCTCATGTTATTTTAATCAGCAATTTTCTTACTGGTCTGGGAAAAAGCATATTTTAGCATTTAAAAAAGAAAAATACAAGGAGTTCATGTAGAACGTACCACACCTGACTGAATGGTGTGTTCATTTTGGTAACATTTTCTCTTACATTTATAAACTGAGTTTGGTTCCTTGAGCTATTAAAACTGGAATTTAAAACTGCAGTTGAGTTTCAGATCATCTTATATCAGTCCAAGGAGAGTCGAACCAGCTGAAGTAGCAGTATAAAGTGTTGAACTTTGCTCTCCTAGAACTGTAGCTGAAAATTTGCACAGGATGAGATTGATTTCTGGATGGGAGGAAAAAGTGTGTGTTAGGGTGACCAGATGTCCCGAATGTTATAGGAACAGTCCCGAATTTTGAGTCTTTTTCTTATATAGGCTCCTATTACCACCCATCACCTGTCCCGATTTTTCACACTTGCTGTCTGGTCATCCTTCTGTGTGTGTGTGTGCATGTGCATTTTTCTTAAAGTTTTAATTGACTTTTTTTTTTCTCTCTAGATAAAAGTATTCTTCGATTTTTCTTTAATCTTGGTGTGAAGGTAATTATCCAAACTCTCATCAATGAGATTTTTTTTTTTACTTAATCTCCATCTCCCACATCCCAAAATGGTAACTTTAGTAGGGGAAAATCAAAAACGGATTGGTTTTTTTTTTTTTTTAATTAATAGTAATGATACTACTTTATATGGGGATTGAGTGGCTCAGGGTACTGGTAATGAAAAACATAGATCTGCTTACCCCTGAGTTGCTGGTTTAAAACCAGCCCTAATCAAAAGTGACTGAATAGCATTACCATTGTATGGCTGTTTGGTGACCTGTGTGGAAAGGAGCTTGGTGGACAGTTCTCAGAGGACAGATGTTCATGTCACAAGTCACCACCATCACAATTCACAATAATTGTGACTTTTTTGGCTGGCAGCTGAGAGACCAAAGATTGAATAGATCATGGGGATGGAGCTCTGTGACTCCTAGAACTGGTCCATCTATGTCAATGGCGAGACATATTGATAGGGCAGCATGGGGGAAAGCTGTGCTGCTTCTGTTTATGCTGTACCATTTGTGTGGTTAGAGGATTTCAGTCTTTAGGACTGTCAACTGGATATCCTTCATAAGCAAACAAAATTCTTACAGAGATATAAAATCCATATGGAACGCTACAACTTGTTCAAGCTGTTAATTTGGAGGGGGGGGCCTCTGCTATGAAAGTGCTATATACTATCCATAGGTAAGGCTAAGATTTTGCTCTCCATTATGTGCTTTTTCTTTTGCACATGCCCCCACTTCTAAAAGTCTGTCCTTTCCTCTTCAAGTTGTCTGTGGGCAACAGACTCTATTTTTCCCTGAATTAGAAATGACCTGGACAAGCTGTTCTTAAATACCGGACTGGGGAGTGGGGGAAATAGGTGTTTGATTTTGGATGTCTTATCTCAAATATAACTTCTTAGAAACTTCAGCTAAGGTTTATTCAAAAGATTTTGGTGAATGAGATGTAGCACACAAGACTAATGTTCAGGTTTCTGCCTCTGCGAGTTGTTTGTTTGAATTCTATTATCTCACAAATGGCTAGCTGAAATCATTCAAATTTGAGCAAGATGTTCTCTGCTGGCAGCAGGCTACATGTGCAAAATTTGGAAGTGAAAGGGGTGTTCACTGAGGTTTTTAGTGGTGACTCCAAAATCAGGCATATAATTGAAAGTAAGCCTCAAATAAAAATAACTACCCTCTCTCCTTTTACCATGTTTTGAAAACTTTTCTCTTATCTCAAATTTTATATCAAATAGTTTGAAAGATTTTGTTGAGATCTCATGCACAGTTCCACTTTTGAGACCGGAGAAGTTATATTTGGGAAATTAATTCCTGGTCAATTAAATGTGTCAGAATAATCCATTTGGTACTGAACATGAAAAGGGAACCAAAAGACTGAAGACATGAGCTCTCTTTCTCTTTCTTTTCAAAGTCTATCTTTTAGCTGGAGTTAAGACTGCAAGTATGTCCCAGTAACTTACAAGTAAAACACCTTATAAGAACGTTGTTGACGCTTTGTATTGCAGTGGCATGAATCTGAATTGGGGTCCCATTTATCAAAAAGCAATTGTTAGAAACACGGGGAATTTAAACTTTAATCTTAAATTAAAAGAATTTAAAATGTTTTGAAAATTTAGACATGCGCAGGTAAGACACCCAAACAAAATTCAGTTCCTGTATTGAGGAACAACCAAAAATTCTGGACTGTATCCATCAAAAAACAGATTGATCTTGTTGGTGTCCACAAACACTTGAAAGCTTTGATTTGAATACTGCATTGGTTGAACTTGCTCTAGTTTTTATCATGGCCATAAACCGCCCACAGAAGACATTCTTTACAAATTGACAGTTACACTAGTATCCTACTGAAAAGGCAGTCATCCCCCACTCTTGATTAAGATTGCACATGCTACCAGTTATATCAGTGTCATTACATGTTAGTGTGTCAATATATGCAAACATCATAGGCCCAGATCAGGAAATCATAATACTTGCATAAAAGACCAAAAGTGAGGGTGGTGGCGAAGCATGATATATCAGATATATGTATGTATAAAACCAGTGCTCTCTGTTGAGGTACATTCCATAGTTCATCTGCAAGCATTTTAAGTGTAGTGCATCTACAAATTTAAGATGTCTCTAGTTGTTGTCTGCAAAGTACTTTAAGCTATTATGAAAAAGGATGTCTGTGGGGAAATGGGAGGATGTTTATGACTCTACCGTCACTGTACCAGTACAGTGGACTTTCCCAACATCTGCAGCCTATGGCTGTGGACTTCCAAATCCTTTAGAAAAATTCATGGTTCAAAAATAATGAAACTTAGGTTTGAAAGAAACAAAGAAGGGAAGATAGGAGACTGGTGTTGCTATTGGGACAGATTTAACAATGCTGTGTGACCATAACTGATTCTTTCCATACTCTAAAATATTCTTGGGTTTCTGACTGTGGTTGTTTAACTGGAGCATTCTTGTAAGGGCTAGTCTAAATGGGGAAATTTATTAGCATAATTGTATACCAGTATAACTGCCCATGTGAACACACTTGTTCTGGAATACGAATGCCTTTTTCCGGTTTAGCCTTTCACTGGGGGGAGGGATAGCTCAGTGGTTTGAGCATTGGCCTGCTAAACCCAGGGTTGAGAGTTCAATCCTTGAGGGGGTCACTTGGGGATCTGGGGCAAAATCAGTACTTGGTCCTGCTAGTGAAGGCAGGGGGCTGGACTCGATGGCCTTTCAAGGTCCCTTCCAGTCCTAGGAGATAGGATATCTCCATAAAATTATTATTTTTATTTTTTTTTTATTTTGGAAGTGGTATACATTAAACCAGAAAAAGGCAGTGTTATTCTGGAATAAGTTCCCACATGGGAAATTATACAGCGCTATCTAATCTATCTATCTCAGTAAATTTTCCCATATATTCAAACCCTAAATCACCCCCACGCCTGCCTATTCTACCCAGTTTAAGTTAATGACATATTCTCTCAATTTTAAATCCAGTTTAAATAAAGATTTTTGTTTAACTAGAGAAGCACCATGTATACCATTGTAGTAAGTGCTGTATAAGCATTTCCATTCTGCACTTAAAATTTTAGGGAAGGTAATTTTTCAAACTTTATTGTAAAAAATTAGCTCTGGTCTCAGACTTGGTACACCTGACTTCATTTTACTCCACAGATGGTTTGTGGGGTTTTTTAATGACCAAATCTGGAAAAAAGATCTCTTTGGCTATCATAATTTAAAGAATGAAAAGAGAGAAGTTAGTGGTTTTGATAACTTTGTATAACTAGTCAAAGTCTCTGGTTTGGCTAACAGAAAATTAGCTGGCCATTAGTCAATGTTGTTGCTATGTATGTTCAAAATATGCTTTCATTTCATAGACCCAAGTTTGAAACTCACTTTGTGGATCATGATATGATTTCCATTGCTGGCAGCGTGCATTATTTAGGATGTAGTCTGTCATCTTCTGCGTTAGAACTATCTACTGGCTGAAGTACCATAGATCACTAACCAAAGAGTAGAATTGCTGACAACCTTTGAGGGCAGATACGTCTTTCTCTCATATAGAGAATCTCCTGGTCTGGAAACTGGCTGTTGGGTTACCATGCTCACTAATGCCACAGAAGTAGCCACTGGTAAAATTCTTGGTGTCCTATAGGCTCCTTTCATGTAGGCCTGGGAAACATTAGCACCTTTAGTGGACATGATAATCCAGCAGCTCCCAGACCAAAGGAGAATACGTACTTGCAGTAAGTGCAAACTGTCTATTTTCTGTTAGTGCATATTAATTAGGTGGTGACATAAATTCAGTTAATGGGCTGCAAAATGTGACCTCACTTAAATATGGCAGAAAATTTTGAATTTTGTGGGAATGAGCCTCATTTCAGATGTCTGCAGATCTGTATGTGCATGTTTCAAGATGAGGTAACACTGTTTTTTTCCTCAGGATTTTGAGAGAATGGATATGTGGGTTAAGTGTCCTTTTAACACCTATGATTCAAGAGTATCTAGAAAACCTGAACACACTTAAAAAGCATAGCTACAACTTAATTTGCTCTATTATGCTTTCTGTTGGTCTGTGTTTAAGCATTTTGACAGTGTTCTTTCTGTATAGTTAAACTGTTTCCCCTTTCACATAGCAATAGGGATTATTTTTTTTAAATGATTGTAAAACCATAAAAATAGGTCAAGGGACTTGAGGGCAGATATTGTATATAAAATTACTTTTATCTCTTTTAAAATAAATTAACCGGGTTTCAAGTTGACAAATGACTTTACAGTGTGATATTTTATATCTGTTTTAATTCCTTAGTAGACTGAAACATCTTTGTTTTACAGGCATACAGCTGTCCCATGTGGGCACCACACTCTTATTTGTACCCTCTGCATCAGGCCTATCTAGCTTCTTGTAGAATGTACCCAAAAGTTTCTGTTCCTGTATATCCTCACAACCCTTGGTTCCAAGAGGCACCACCAACTCAGAATGAAAATGAAACTGCACAAACAAACAGACACTTTTCTATGCAGAATGAGGCCAGATCTGATGATCAGAGTCTGCAAGTTGACACTAGGTCTCCATCATTGCCTCTGATTATATCTACAGCTCAGGTGTCAGAAAGTCAAGGACAGGTCTGTGTAGAATCTGAGAACCCAGTGCAAGCTCTTCAGTCCGATCAAGATGAGTCAGTGAGAGGAAAAAACATGTTCCTGCATCCACCATTTGGACACAATCAATTTTTAGGAGCTGTTCCAATAGCACCTCCATTTTTCCCTCACTTTTGGTATGGGTACCCATTTCAGGGTTTTATGGAAAATTCAGTAGTGAGACCTAATGTTATGTCACCTGAGGACAAAGGGGCAGCTGTTAGCCCCTCAGCAAATATATATCTGGCTAAAGAATGCAGTTCTCCAGTTCCAGTAGCAAGCTGTGTGGAGCATCTTCAGAAGGTAGAGAGTGAAAGTAACTCCAGTGCCATACCTCCCCCTATGGCTAGTTTGAGCAGCGAATGTGATGTACTGAATGAAACCTCAACCAGGATGCCTAAGACGGAGCAAATATGTATTGCTGTTTCTCCTGCTAAACAAGCGAAGGCTGCACTACAAAATCGTTCAACACAGATGCAGGGGATCGAGAGGCAGACAGTGGTGTCACATGCTTCACCATCAGTAACAGAGCCACCAAAAAATGAAATGAAAAGTAATATTCCCGCTCATAAGGAAAAGCCAGAGAAAGCCAGAGATTCCAAGGCTACTGATAATTTACAGGCCAACTTGGTAGAAAGCAGGGCACAAAGAACAAGGGAAGAGAGCTCTGAAGATGAAAATGAGGTGTCTGATATGCTGAGAAGTGGTAGATCCAAGCAATTTTATAATCAGACTTATGGCGGCGGCAGAAGGCCAAGAAATGAATGGGGCTACCCGTCTAGTAGGGGAGGATACCAGTACTCAAGAAATGAAGATGCCTGGAAAGGACCACCCAACAGAAGCAGAGATGAAGGTTACCAATATCACCGAAATTTTAGAGGGAGGCCATATAGAAATGATAGAAGGAGGGCAATCATGGGAGATAATCAGAGGGGGCATCTAGCATAAGCATGTCTTACTAGAAAGTTTCAAATGCCAATACAAATTTCAAGGAGAAACTTCTAAAATCTTCCCAGTTTTTTGTTTTGTTTTAAGATAGGGTACACTTGTAACCTCAAAGTAAGGCCTAGGGGGAAACAAACTCCTAGTCCTAGCATTAAGTTTCTTGGCAATTAAATATGAAGTTTCGGTTTAGGAATTTTTTCAAATTCTGGAAGTAGAAAATAAAATTATTGTTTGTTTTAAAGTATAAAAACAATACAGTTTAATGTTGAACTTTTTCCTTAGAGGTTTCAGTTTGTGATACAATAAAATGATAAATATTAACATGTTTACTGGAATGACACAAATATAGTGTTTGACATGATCTAGGTTCTAAAATTGATGTAGTGTTGCACCAAATATAAATGTATATTTTATCATACAATGCCTTAGTTCTAAACTGAGCTAAAGGAATTCTCAGCCTACCGCACTGTTGTTTTTGATATGCTTCCAACCCAAAGGCCTTTCATCTCAAAATCTGTCAAACTTGAATGTTTCTCTTTAGTGTGTTACATCTATGGCAGTTAGCTAACTGTGTCTTAGATATGCTGTATATAATTCTTTTAATATTCATAGGGTATATTTTTGAATTTTAAAAAGCATTTGTTGAAATCAAAATTGAGACAAGCAGTCAAGAATAGCTGTGTGTGAATTGATAGGAAATTCAGTGGAATGGCTGTTTCCACCAAGAATTCTTAACACTGGTGTGACTATAATGGTGCCTATGCCAATTAAATATTTACAAAGACAATAAAAAATGTAGATGCTATGCATTTCCAAAATATTCTGCATCTGTTATAATAGCAGAAATTTTTTAATGCCACTTTAACACTAATGCACTGACAAATCCTAAATATTTTGTGAGCAGAGATGCATAAAATACATGTTACGTTTTTTTTTTTTAAGTTTGTATGATGAGCTACTGTTGAGCTTTTTTGTTGTTGCACTGTTGATGCAAATTGGTTATGCTTTGCATGTACAACTCATTGCTGGAACTACTTTTTAAAAACAAGATAGATGTGGTTTTCAAAATATATTCTCCAGAATTCAGAAGAAAGCGGCTTCTGCCTTATATTTTTACACAGTCAGAGTTCTGATTGCTGTTTCTTCTGACTCTTAGATGATCTCTGCAGTGTTCCTGATTATTGCCTTTGCAGTTGGGATATTCAGCTATCCAAACTCAGAGAGAGTGCAGTGTGCACATTGTTCACTCAGCTCTGTTGCTTTGTAAAATTAACTGTTGTGTATATTTTTATATCTCTGTATATACCAGTGTAAAAGGTGATGGTGCCCTTTTATTCATGTCTATGAGATTGTATACCTTTGATCAGGAAACGTGAGTGATACTGTTATACACGTGACGAAGCAATTCTTTTAAGATGCATGCCATGTATAAAACACCTAATTAAAAATAAATGTTTGTCCGTTCACTTTCTTTTTAAACTATATAAAACTACTCATGTAATAACATGGTCAATCTTCTGGTTCTGTTGATATCTACAAATGGCATATCAGTAGAACTTGGTGAATTGCTACTATATTTGTGGCTACTGCGCTGAACTCTTAATCAGCACTGAATAGCAACTAACATTTAGGCGCTTAGCAAAATATACATTAGAGTGCATTTATAAATGGAAATTATAAAAGCTGTACTGTTTTTACCTGAGCAAGAAAAATATTTAAATCAATTTGAGTGGAAATATATTTAGAAATTAGGTTTAGTCTGCAAGGGTGCTATTAAAAACGAACACTGGAGGGATGTATTAATTAAGCTTTTGCTTCCCTATTCATATTCAGTGATTACATAAAATAATAGGGTGATGGTTAGCTAATAAGGTTAAGGAAGCTACTCTTCACATTGTGTACCTTTCTCCCCCTGGCTCCTTACAATGTTGCTCTTTGAACTCAATCCAATGCTCACTGAATTCTAGGGGCATTGGAACAGATGCGTAGTCATATATGCCTTTGTATGTATTATGAGGTTTGAGTAACATGTGATTTAAATTTCTCTCAATATGTGGAAAAGTGCACTTTCTAGAGAGATTTTCTCAAGGGCTGATGTTAAACGGAGTGTGATAGCATTGGTAGGAGTGGACTTTTCCTTTGAAAAGTGACCTGCAGGACTCAAACATTAAGCTTGTGCCCTGTCTTTCTGCGTTATCACGTATAAAAGAGGCTGACAGGTTAAGATTTTTTTTTTTTTTTGGCTTGTGTTTCAGCTTTAGAAATAATGAATGTCAAGTCTGACTGTCTTTGGTTTTCCTGTTAGACTTGTTGGGAGAAGGGAGGTCTCAAAGATTGTTTGTCAACTCTAAGGCTGCGATTCAGCAAGGTGTTCTTAAGCACTTGAATTCTATTGAAGTCTAGAGGACTGCACATAAAGTGATGCACATGCTTAAGTACCTCTGCTGAATGGAGGCCTAGAGCTCTGTCCCAGCCAGAACCTGAGGGGACCCAATTATAGGTGCCAGGTTCAGGTTAGGTTGGAAAATCATCCAGCCTGCTCAGGTGGGGTTGCCTCTGAAGAACTCCTCCTACCCATAGGGTCAGCTGCATGTCCTGCTCTTGCCTGCCACCTTGCTGCCCTCTGTGTGTACTGCGAAGTGAGTGTGCTAATGAGTCGCAGCACCTCTCACTTTGCAGCTTTCACAGTATGCAACAGGGCAGGCTGCTGCTGGTGCACCATCCCCAAGGGCAGGAGGCAACGATACCACTGATTCATTTTGGGAGAAGGGTCAGATCAGCTTGAGTGGGCTTGGGTCTGGTTTGGTCCAGGTCTGGCTTAAAAAGTAGTCCTGAGCAGACCCCAATGGAGGTCTGCTACCTACAAGCAGCAAGGAGGCTGAGTCTTTAATAATATCTCATCAAATTATTAGTCATTGAAATAAATAGGAATTGACAAAAACAAGACCCAAAGACTCTGAGTAAAAACTCCTCCTCTCTCAGTTGCTCAACTTTCACTTTCAACAGTGATGTTATAATTTTTCAGTAGTTCTCTAATCTTCTGAAGCTTGTTCTGCACTTGAAAGTTTTGGTGACACAGCTGTGTCTAGGGCCCTACCAAATTCACTGCCCATTTTGGTCAATTTCATGGTCATGGGATTTTAAAAATAGTTTCAGGATTTCAGATGTTTACAGTGTTGTAACCATGGAGAGCCTGACCCAAAAGAGGGTCAGGGAGGTTGCAAAGCTAGTGTAGGGGGATTGTGGGATTGCCACCCTTCTGCGCTGCTGCTGGAGCCAGTGCTGCCACCAGCAGCAGCACAGAAGTGACTGTCGCAGGGTGGTGGTGGGAGGGGGGACGGGGACAGGGCTGGCCTTATGGGTGAGTATCCACCCAGGGCCTCATGGTCAGGGGGTGCCATGGTTCTCTCCCTTCTGTCCCCCCAGTCAGCCCAAGGCCCTTTAACCTCCTGAGCACTGGGCCTGGAGCAGAGGAGGGACAGGGCTGGGGTGCCCTGGCTGGGGGTGCCCCAGCCGTGGGCTCCAACTGTGCAACAGGTTCCAGCTGCCAGTCAGGATGGGACTTCCTCTTTCCCTGCAGGGGTCACTCCTGGGGCTGGATCAGACCCATCTCCAGGAGCCTCCCCTGGCTGCAGGAAGCTGGGCTTTGAAGGCAGTGCAGCTAGGGGAGAACTCGAAGTTGGTTTAATTTTTAACTTACATTTTCAAGTTGAATTTTCACTTTAGAAATGTATTGGTACCTTTTCAGTCAAGGACCTTGGTTTAAAAAGCCAGTTTATACTGTGGAGTGTGTATGTAAAGGTGCCCCCCAGCTCATTTTTTAATTGTTTATCAATACTTAATGGTCCAAAATCTTTCTTGTAATACACTGAAACCTGAATGCTCTTTCCTTTTATAGATTTTACTCTTTGGAATGGGGAGGCAGTCTGATTTAATGATTAGGGCATGGAAGTGGGAGTTAGAGCCACACATCTGCATTCGCTCTAGGAGCTAGACTAGTGTGATTCTGTGCTCTGCTATTAACAATGTTGGGTAAGTGAGTAATTTAGTCTCAATTTCTTATTCTATAAAATGGAAATGGGACTCTCCTTTGTAAATCACTTTGAGATCTGTGGATGAAAGTACTACATAAGTATTTTTTTTTCCCTGAAGGAAGGTTTCACTGTCATTGGAATCTTGACATATGGACAAGAGAAGAGAAACATTTGTAAGTGTAACAGGGAACTGAAACAGGAACTTATAGAAACCTTAAGTACAAGTATTAAATTATTGCATTTATGTTGACCAAGCAATAGGAGTCCATGTCTATGCAAAGATCTTAATTTTTGTTAGGTGTCGTTTGCAATTTGCTTTCTTGCTTTGATCATCATCTTCCCTTTCCTTCTCTTATCACTGTTTCATTATCTATAAACTCTGCATGCAGATTCCTTTAAAAACTGCAGCATAAACTGTTACTGTCAGGGCTTGTCTTTGTTTACTAAACTTTAACAGCTGTGGTACAATGGATATTGCTAAATCCCTGAATACTTTCCTGCCAATATGCTGCTGTTTCTGCCATGCCTGATTAGTCTCGTTGTCCCTAATTATTGTTGCTAACAATGCCTACAATTATTGCTAAAATAATCTCTGAACCAGTGGTGGCCAATGTGATTTTTAATGGTACCAGTCACTGAAACTGCTGCTAGGCATGCATTAATGTTACACAACTGTCTTGATAACTTTATCTACACAGAATTTTTTTTAAAATAAAGAATTTCTACTGTTGCTAATATTGGTTCACCTGCAGCAATGCAGACAGCTGTGCCTCTGGCAGTAGGGTGACCAGATATCCTGATTTTATAGGGACAGTCCTGATTTTTGGGTCTTTTTCTTATATAGGCTCCTATTACCCCCGGACCCCTGTCCTGATTTTTCACATTTGCTGTCTGGTCACCCTATCTGGCAGTGCCATACAAATTAAACATTTCTAATCAATAAGATGCTGGAAATGGTAAGGCATCAGGTTCTATGTGGGTCCAGTCCATCCCTGTACTGAAGTTTACACCACTAATCCTGTTCCAAGAGATTGGTGACTCAGGAACTAGAATCTCTGCTCCACTGTGAGGCTGAATATTCCAACTGAAGTGCTGAAGGCCTTCCCTTTTACTTATGTCATGTGTCTCCCTGAGACTGAGGAGGAGTTGACTGACTGCAACCTGCTTTGCCAGTAAGGGTAGCATTCCCCCTCTTCCCCATTTAGATCTAGTCCTTTCTCTACAGATTCTCAGTGTTGTACACTTTTCATAGGTCTAGGCAGATTGGTTTGTTTAGTTTTAAGCAGTGTCATTTTCAGGCCAGAAGGGACCAGTAGATTGGCTACATCACAGGCTCCAGAACCCCATTCACCCACTCCTGTAATAGGCCTGTAACCTCTGGCTGAGTTTCTGAAGTCTTTTGTCTTGATTTAAAGATTTCAAGTTATAGAGAATCCACCATTTGCTCTAGTTCAAACCAACAAGAGACTCAGGGTCCAGTTGTAAAGGACTATGAAACCCCTTAGGCTCTCTGCCAATCTGACTGGGGAAAAATTCCTTCCTAACAGCAGTTGCAGCTGGGCCATATGCAATATCATCATACCCTCCCATCCATGAATTTTTCAAGATCAGTCTTGACACGGGTTAGGTCCCCCTTCCCAATCCCTTGGAAGGCTGTTGGTTAGAAACCTTTGTTTACCTAAAGCTGTTGGGGTCTGGCATGATCTACCTTTTGTAAAACCATGTTATTACTGTTTACCCTCTGTCTTTAATTACTCTTTCAAAATTTTGTTTTAAGACCTTACATGTACCTGAGATCAAACTAACAGGTCAGTAGTTTCCTGGATCCCCCTTAAATAGAGGTAATATATTTGCAATTCTCCAGTCAGAAGGTATGACTGTACAGTGTCATTAAAAATCCTTGCTCTCAAGCTTACAATTTTATGTGCTAGTTCCTTTTAATATCCTTGAAGATTATCTAGAACCCCCATTTGGTCCCATTAAGCTGTTTAAGTTAGGCTTCCACCTCAGATGTGGGTAATATCTACTTCCCAATCCTCATTCACAAAAGCAGGAGACGGTGGCGTGGTGGCTAATTACTAAAAATGGAGGCAAAAATAGGCTTAGGTGTTAGGTCATACCTATATTAATCTTTTATATGCACCCTGTCCTCACTGCTTAGCAGTCCCACTTCTTCATTCCATGTTTTCTTATTTATATGGTTAAATCTTTTATTACAGGTTTTAATTTCCTTTACAAGGTCCAGCTTTGCTTTGGGCAGTTCTCACCTATACTTTGTCACCTCAAAGAGGTAGCTTTCCTTGGTGATCCATCCCGTCTTCCATTCACTGTAGGCTTTCTGCTTTCTTAAACTGTTTGAGCTGCTTGTTCATCCAGTTTTGGTCTGCAACACTTTCCAATGATTTCCCCCCCGTTTGG